GAATAAATTATTTTATGTTTTTTAGTTTCTTCAGTATTTTTTTAGTTATTTTTCCCTCTTTTATACTCACTGTTAACTTATAAGTTAACTGTGATACCAAAAAGTTGATACCAAGTGGATTCAATCAAAAATTGATCCAAATTTTTAGCATCAATTTGATACATTCAAGAAAACTGTGGCTTCAATGTTTTGACTTTAATCTCTTTTATAATTTCACTTTTTATGCTTTAAAAAGTTTTACTTTACAAAGTTTTACTATCAATTTGATTCAATTTGGTATTAATTCGATTAAAAAAAGGACAACAAAAATTTGTTGTGATGCAACAATTTTGATACATTACTTTTTTAAATATTAAATTAGAAGTTAAACAGAAAGAAAATAATTGAAATATAATATTGAATGGGCGATTTTTTATTAAAATTATTTTTTCGAAAATGATTTCGAGATATATAAACGTTTTATCAATGGGAAATTGCAGTGTACACGCCGTACCAGTTGTGATAGTGCGTCATTATAGATTGGTATGTGGGATATTACGCCTTTACTCATTGACTGCAAACGCCCTAAGGATTATTTTACAAAGACTAATATATAGAGAGAGAAATACGTCGTTGAAAAGGCAATATTCCCTAGGCAACTATAAATAGAATTTATTTATTTTTTTTTTTATGTAACAAAAACCAATAATCATCGAGTTATTTTCCTTTTTATCTCTATTATAGTTTAATTTTTCCATTAGGGACAAATAATTGAAAAACAAATATTTAATGTTGTTTTTTTATTAGGAATTTTATTATTTTGTTATTATTACGGTTGAAAAACAACTTTTTTTTTTATTTTTTCTAGTTTCTTTAGTGTTTTGCAACTTTAGCATTTTTAGGTAAATTTATTAGTTTCTTCAGTATTTTTCAGTGTATTTTTTTAATTTCTTTGGTTATTATCAAAGTATTTTTCAATTCCTTCAGTATTTTTTAGTTTCTTTAATATTTTTCAGTGTATTTTTAGTTTCATCAGTATTTTTTAGTCTTTTGAATTCCTTCCGTATTTTTTAGTTACTTCACTGTTTTTTAATTTCTTTAGTACTTATCAGCGTATTTTTAGTTTCTTCAGTATTTTTCAGTGTATTTTTTAGTTTCTTCAGTATTTTTAGTATATTTTTCAGTTTCTTCGGTATTTTTTAGTCTTTTCAGTTTTTTTTTATTTCTTCAGTATATTTTTTAGTGTATTTTTTAATTTCTTCAGTATTTTTAGTATATTTTTCAGTTTCTTCAGTATTTTTTAGTCTTTTCAGTTTTTTATTATTTCTTCAGTATTTTTAAGTATTTTTCCAGTGTATTTTTTAATTTCTTCAATATTTTTTAGTTTCTTCAGTTCATTTTCTAATTTCTTCAGTATTATTGAACTCAAAAAAGTATAGATAAGATCAATTTTTAGAACCAAAAATCATAGAGAAATTGTTGTAGAAAATTGTTAATCCATATAGGCTAATATTTGAGAACATATATGTATAGGAAGTATTTAATAATTGTCTTTTATTATTTTATTATTCTCATTAAGATATGTTTGTGTATTTCCTCTAATGAGACCGCAACTACTATAAAGCTAATTAAAGGTGAACACTCGAATCAATTTTGTAGTCTCTTTGGAAATGAGATTTTAATTGGATTATTAATGCTGTCATTAAAATTAAATGTAAACAGTATATTTTGTAGATGTTTGTTTCACCATATTTGTATTTATTTCTATTCGATTTCTCTTTTCCACGTGTATATATATATATATACATAAGTATGTGTGAAACATAATTTTCACTTTATGGTGTCAACGTATTTTTTAACATTTAACATGTAAACAAAGATTTCTTTACATCATTTTGTTGAAAAATAAAACTTATACCTACTTTTATTCTATTTTTGGGCTAAAATAATGTTAAACTTGAACCACTTTTCACTGAATCTTAACTTTGAGGGTATGATTTTCAGGCCTAAAATTAAATTAATATCTAGTTTTTGCCACAGTTTTTCTAAGGATATCAAATTGAGACAAAAAACGAATCAAAAGGTTTGTCTTTTTGATATCCTTAGAAAAACTATGAAGTTTACAAAACTTAAAAACAGCTTCAGGCTTTCTTCAGTATATTTCACTTTTTTAGAGGATTTTCAAATTTCTTCAGTATTTTTCAGTGAATTTTTATAGTTTCTTCAGTATTTTTCATATATTTTTAAGTGTAATTATCAGCTTCATCAGCGTTTTTAAACATTTTTTTTAAGTATTTTCCAAAGTATTTTTCAATATCTTCAGTATTTATTTTTTTTTTCAGTGAATTTAACAATTTCTTTAGTAATTTTTATTTTTTCACTTGAGTTTTTCAATTTTCTTCAGTATTTTTCAGTTTCTTCAGTGTATTTTTCAAATTCCTCAATATTTTTGAGATTTTAAGGGTATTTTTTAATCTGTTTAGTATTTTTTCAGTTTCTTCAGTGTATTTTTCACTTCCTTAAGTAGTTTTTAGCTTTTAAGAGTATTTTTTAATCTCTTTAGTATTTTTTCAGTTCCTTCAGTATATTTTTCAAATTCTTTAGTATTTTTGAGATTTTAAGGGTATTTTTTAATCTTTTTAGTATTTTTTAAGTTTCTTCAATGTATTTTTTAAATTCCTTAGTATTTTTAAAATTTTAAGGGTATTTTTTAATCTTTTTAATATTTTTTCAGTTTTTGCAGTGTATTTTTTTAATTTCTTCAGTATTTTTGAGGTTTTAAGGGTATTTTTTAATCTTTTTAGTATTTTTTAGTTTTTTCAGTGTATTTTTCAAATTCCTTAGTATTATTGAGATTGGAAGGGTATTTTTTAATCTTTTTAGTATTTTTTCAGTTTCTTCAGTGTATTTTTCAATTTCTTCAGTATTTTTGAGATTTTAAGGATATTTTTTAAATTTTTTTAGTATCTTTTCAGTTTTTCAGTGAATTTTTTAAATTTCTTCAGCAGTTTTGGGATTTTAAGGGTATTTTTTAATCTTTTTAGTATCTTTTCAGTTTTTCTGCGTATTTTTCAATTTCTTCAGAGCAGTTTTTAGTTTTGTTAAGTGCATTTTATAATTTTCTTCATTGTTTTAGTTTCTTCAGTGTATTTTTCAAATTTTTTAGTATTTTTGAGATTTTAAGGGTATCTTTCAATTTTTTTAGTATTTTTTTTTACTTTCTTCAGTGTATTTTTTAAATTCCTCGGTATTTTTGAGATTGTAAGGATATTTTTTAATTTTTTTAATATTGTTTCAGTTTCTTTAGTGTATTTTTCAATTTCTTCAGTATTTTTAAGATTTAAAGGGAATGTTTCAATCTTTTTATTATTTTTTCAGTGTATTTTTCAATTTCTTCAGTATTTTTGAGTTTTCAATGTTATTTTTCAATCTTTTCACTATTCTTCAATTTTTTCCATAGTGTTTAGCTTTTTTTTAAGTATATTTTTCTATTTTAAAATTTTTTCCAATTATTGCAGTTAATTTGACAAATTCCTCAGTATTTTTTAGTTTTTCCAGTGTATTTTTCAGTTTGTTCAAAATGTGAAAACACGAAGAAAACTAGATTATAAAGAAAATTTCGAAAAGGAACATTGTATTTGCTCGTGCGAATAATTTAGGACCCATTCCAATTCGTTTATAAACACATATTAGGTAATATCATGTTTCATTAATCACTTTTAATTATAAATAAAACTTGGTGTAATCAGTTTTTATATGATTTCTTCATACCAAATATAGCTGACACAATTTCTTAGCCATGAGCGAGACCATGAGAGTAAGGTGATTGTGGGTAAACACAAAGTGAAATGCACTTTTTTATAGCCATATAGATGATGAAAATGAAGATAAACCTCGTTAAAAGTAAATTTTTTGAAAAAAAAAAAAAAACAATTATTAATGCTTGTTTGAAAGAAAATATTTAGTTATTACATCTCAAGAGAGAGAAAGAGAGAATAATTACACCGAGGAGTAGTAATATTTTTCTCGAACCATAATAAACGGTAATATGAAAACAACATAGTTGAATAATCGGTTGGATATTCTCAAGCATTGATTGTTGTATTATTACAGTTCTCAGAAACTATGTACGTTGAAATGAAATGAAAAAAAAGAGTAATTTCAAAAGTATTTTAAGTTTCCTTTTGCCCCACAGCTGTTGCTAGGCCAATAACGCGTAAACAAGACCCACGAGGCCGTTGCCTGATACCTCTTAGCTTATCCTCTTCTCTGTCTTTGTCGCACTTTGCGATTACAAAGCCGGAAGTAAGAAAAATGTCGCGACGTTTCTTAACTGTCTTAATTATAATAAGCAAAGCAGGTTTTTTTTTTCAAGACTTTTTTTATCGCAACAATATTTAATAATTAAACACGTTTCTTTTCTTGTTTCAAGAAAAAATAACAGAAGTATTTTCAATAACCGTTTAAAATGAAACACGTGTCATAGAATAATAATTTCAGTGACACGTGTTTTCTTTTAAAACTTTATCATCTCATATTCTATAGGGTTGGAAATATAATGTTGATATTTCAGGTATCTTATGTTATATCGTTTCTTATCTGAGAAAAAAAAAAAAATTCTAGTTGTTAACATTTCATCTGAAATCGTGATTATGATATATGTCGTAAATTATTTTTTCAGTTTAAAAAAACATAAAATAAAAAAAAAATGACGTCAATTGTTTTAGTGTATTTATTTTAGGATTTTTTTTTCCTGGCTTATCTAATTTCACGTGAAGCTAAAATAAAGCTTAAATGGGGAGAGAGAGAGAGAGAGAGAAGGTTGACGTCATTTCTATGGTTATTTTTCAATGACGGATTTTGTGAAAAAAATATTTGTGATGCTTGATGTATAATATAAAGCATTATTGTAGGAATATTGCATAATTTGGTAATTTATCAAAATGTATACATTCCTCTCTTTTTTTCGGTCAATATTTGTACGAAAATGATGACATTTGTTATTTCTTGATATGTTTTAGCGTGTGGCGAACCAGACGCTTACCGTTTCGCCACAACCGGCAGTAACGGTGGAGGGGCCGGTGTCTAAAATGTCTCCACCGACGAACGATGTTACGAATGGGGTGATAGCGCCTCCAAGTAATCTTACACCCCGGGTTCCATCGACAACGAATCCGGCTTTAACATCCATCAATCCTCCCACCCACAAGCGCTCCTCCACTGATTTTATCTTTGGCAAAGTGATAGGCGAAGGCAGCTTTTCTACCGTGAGTATAATATTTATTAGCCATATCTATAATATAATGGCCATAAATCGAATTTGATGCAATGAAATTCATTTTTCATTATGTCAAATTCTATAATTGCGCGGCTCTTATCATTTTTCTGCATCTATAACAATAGAAAATTTCATGCCTCGGATATCAAGACTTATTTGGGACTTTTTTCGATTATTTGCAAAAAAAAAAGACGATTTTTTCGACTTATTTTCAAAAAAGGCACCTTTTTCGATTTATTTTTTTAAAAAAGGCCCTTTTTTTGACTTATTTTCAAAAAAGTGCCTTTTTCGATTTATTTTTTTAAAGAAAGGCAATTTTTTTAAAAATAGGTCAAAAAATGCAACTTTTACACCAGATTTCCGAAGTTGGCTTCAACGCTAAGCATTGAAAGAATAAGGAACAGAATATTTTTTTGAAAGTTTTAGATTAAAAAAATACTATGGGAAATAAAATAAAAAGGTTTCAAATATAATTAAAATTTTACAAGGTTTTTCGTTTCATTCAATATAATTTTTTTTTTTTGAGTTTTATTAAAATTTTTGGAAAACAAATTTTGTTACAGAATTTTAATGGCAAGTTTTAAAAATAATTGAATTCTCAAAAATTTAAATGTAAAATTCTGAGAGTGAAATTTGAAAGTAAAAATTAATTAAATTTATTATTCAAAAAATTATTTTTGAATAATTTTATTAGATAATAAAAGTTTCTAAATATGTTATTGAATAATTTCAAAATACTTAAAATTTTTTTTAAATTCTATCGAAATTAATTCATTATTGTTCAAATATTTGAATACAATTTATAAAAAATCTAATATTTTTAAAATTATAAATTAAATTTTTTTAGATAATTATAATTATCTAAAAAGTTCTAAAATACATAATTGAAAAATTTCTGAATAATTAAAATTTAAAAGAATTTTTTTTTATAAATAATTGAATTTTCGAAATTTTTAATTGAAAAATTTTGAAATAATTGAAATTTTGTTCAATTATTTAAAAATAATTAAATTTCTTAAATGAATTTTTAAGGATAATTGATTTTTAAAAAATTATGTGAAAAAAATTCTAAGAATTATAGTTTTTTAAAAATATAATGCAAATTTTTTGATAATAATTGATTTCTCAAAAAATTTAATGAAAATTTGAAAATGCAAATTAATCAAAATTAACTTTGAAAAATTGAATAAATAATAAAATATTTCTTAAATAAGTAATTCTTATAATTTTTTCGTAATTTTTCAAAATTCAATGATTTTCTCATATTTTTAATTGCATATTTCCAAAAATTCAAATAAGCACAAACAATAATTATACATTAAAGTTGTTTAAAAAACATAATTATTTAGAATTATTATTAAAAAATTTTGGAGAAATCAATTATTTTTAAAATTTTTAATGAAAATTCTTCAAGAAATTGATTAATTTTTTAAATTATTCAAAAATTCTTTTAAGAAATTGAATTATTTTCCAAATATTGAGTTTACAATGTTTTTAAGAAATCAATTTATAGAATTTTTTACCATAATTTTTCAAAATTTAATTATCCTTAACAATTCAATTATTTTTTACAACTTTTACTAAAATTCAATTATTACTAATAAATTTTAACAAAATTCAATTATTTTTAAGAAATTTTACTAAATTTCAATTTTTTAAAAACTTTGAAATTGTATTTATTTCAAAAATTTATTATAATTCAAAAATTTTTTTTAAATATTTAAAAAAATTAATTTTCAGAATTTTTTCTATTGTAATTTTTTTAAAAATGAATTTTAAAAATATTTTATTGTCATTTTTAAAAAAAAGATTAATTATTTTCAATATTTTCGGTTAAAAATTAATTAAATTAATAAAAAATTATTACAATTAAACATTTATTTTAAAAATTAGAATTTTTGTATTTAAATAATTGAATTCTCGAAGGATTTTCGTAAAATTTTCGAAAATAATTGATTTCGAAAAGAAATTTAGTTAGAAATTCTAGAATATAATTGAATTCTAAAGAAATTACAATTTCTAATTTTTGTAAATAAATAATTGAATTTTAAATGTATTTGAAATTGAAATTTAAAAAATTTTAATTTTTGTAGAAAAAATAAATAAGTAGGTATTTAAATATTTATTTAACAATATTATTCATGTTTTGAAAAATTTAATTTAATTTTCAAATCATTAAAAAGTCTTGGAAAATAAAAAATGAAATTGTGACAACACTCAATTCAAATGGATTTTTTCGACTATTTTTGCATTTTTATTCGATTAAAGCAATTTTTTTTTTTTGCTCAAAGTCCATCCAAGGTCTGAAATTGTCTTGACGCGAATTTTGAACTCAATAAGAAATAAATTTTTCCGGATGTTATTGACCTTGTAAACAAGTTTTCAAGAATAATAAATTAATAATGCGTACTATGTGCGTCATTATAAAATATATTCCTTAAATAATTTATGGAAAATGAAATTTATGGAATTAATGAAATTTGTTTTTTTTTTTATTTTCAGGTCTATATTGCCAAAGATATTCACACCAATAAGGAATATGCAATCAAGGTGTGCGAGAAACGACACATAATCAAGGAGAAAAAGACAGAATATGTGAAACGTGAGAAAGAGGTGCTCAATATGTTGGTTGGCGCAAAGCATTCGTTCGTTCGATTATTTTGCACTTTTCAAGATCCTGAGAGATTATATTTTGTCTTGTCCTACGCAAAGAACAGTGAACTCCTACCATACATCACCAAAGTTGGCTCCTTTGATATTGAATGCACGAAATTTTATTCGGCCGAAATTCTTCGGGGTCTGGAATATCTTCACGGTTTAGGAATCATTCATCGTGACTTGAAACCAGAAAATATTCTCCTCGATGAAAAAATGCATGTACTAATCACTGATTTTGGTAGTGCAAAAATTCTCAAAGACGATCCTGAACGATCGTCAGGAACTGTTGATGACGAGCAGCAGCAGCAGCAGCAGCAACAACAACAACAAAGGAGACAGAGACGAAATTCATTTGTCGGCACTGCACAGTACGTTTCACCTGAACTTCTAACCGATAAGGTTGCATCTAGAGCATCCGATCTTTGGGCCCTTGGCTGTATTATTTATCAAATGGTGGCTGGACTACCGCCATTCCGCTCGAGGAGTGAGTATTTAATTTTCCAACAGATATTAAAACTCGAGTATGAAATACCCGATGGCTTCTCCGAATTGGCGAAATCATTGGTTGGACAACTTTTGGTACTCGATCAATCGCAAAGGTTGGGCGCTCAAGATGAACACGGATCTGGCTATCCAAGTATCAGAGCTCATCCATTATTCGATGGTATTGATTTTGAGACACTTCACGAGCAGACACCGCCGCCAATCTATCCTTATTTGCCCGGCACTTCGGAGAATGAGGAATTACGATCGCAATATCGAGTGCCAGATCATTTGGAACCTGGTCTCGATGATAAGCAACTGACACGACTATTGGGCTTGGGAATAAGTGACGAGAGGAAATCGCAGGAGAAATCGGAACCAGTGGCAATTGTCGAGGAGCCAAAGAGAAAGAAGAGTGTCATCTCCGATTTATCGGAGGAGGAAATGAAGAAACTTTTGGATAAACAACGAGCATCGAATCCATGGCATAAATTTGTCGATGAGAATCTCATCTTGAAACAGGGTTTCGTGAATAAACGGAAAGGTTTGTTTGCTAGGAGAAGAATGCTTCTGTTGACAACTGGACCGCATTTATTTTATGTCGATCCAGTGAATATGGTGCTTAAGGGAGAGATACCCTGGAGTCCTGAATTGAGGGTCGAACCGAAAAATTTCAAAATATTCTTCGTTCACACACCATGTCGAACGTATTATCTAGAGGATTCCGAAGGTTTCGCTCTACAATGGTGTGACGCCATCGAAGAAGTCAGAGTTCATAGTTACTCACGAGAAAATTTACTCTAAATCTCTTAGTTTCATCCAAAAAAAAACACACACTGCATAATATCGCATTTACGACTTTCTGAATTTTTCATTCTGCGTCAACTAGTGACCAGAATACTTTTTTTTCTCGTAAGAATCTATAAAATGTAAGTGACGAAAATTAGGACCGTTATAAATTATTGTAGTTGAAATTAAGATGGACGATTATGCACTTGATTTCTCCTTTTTTTTTCATTCAAAAATCTATTTGCGTACTCGTCCATTATAGTGAATTTGTAACTAGTAAATTATCCTCATGTCGTGAGAACATGTAAATTCCTGAGAAAAAAGGAGGTTTTGGAAAATTTCTACAAAAAGTGATGTTTTTCCAAAAATCTTCAACTAATGAAGGCAACACTTTTAGAGTCTTGAAAATAATTTTTTTTTTTTTTTTTGCTCTTTTAGAAAAAAGAAGAAAAAAATTCTTTTTATTGTACAAACAATTTATACAGAACAAATGAAATAAAATAGGTAAATTAGTTTTGTAATAATAATAATAGCAATAATAATAAAAATAATAATTAAAAAATAAGAATAAAAATAAAAATAGTAAGAATAATAAAAATACACGGAAAATAAATGTTAAATTTTATAAAAATATTGCGACAAGGTAAAAAATTTTTGGAGAAAAAATACTAAAAATTTTAAAAAAATACGTGAAATTTAAAAAAAATATCAAGAAATAATAAAATTTTAATACACTAAGAGGAAATATATATTAAATTTTGTAAAAGTATTTTGGGGAAAAAGTGCAACAAACAGAAATTTTGACATAGAAAATACTAAAGAGTGAAAGAAATATGAAATTTAGTAAAGTTATATTAAAATTTAACTAAAATTCTTATATTTGTTATAATTATACTAAATTTCACATAAGTTTTTGTAAAAGTTTAGTATTTTTTATATCAAAATTTCGCTTTCTGGCATTTTTCCCAAATTGTACAGAACTTTTCCAAAATTTGATATAATTTTCCTCTCAGTGTTTAACTACCAAATTTTATAAAAAAATTCTTTTAATTCTTTGTAAATTTTTGTGTATCAAAATTTTTCCTTTTGTCGCATTTTCTCTTTAAATTGTATACAAATAATATTTATTTTCTCTACGGAAAAATGAAAAATGCTGTGACGAATGCTCCTTTTTTATAGCTTTAATTGAATTTTGTCATTATCGCGAAATATTTTCGATCTAGTAAATTATTTCGTTTCGCAGATTTTTTCCATCGTCACTACATTTTTTTATTGATGCTCTTTTCCTGCTCGAAAAAAATTCAAATCAACATTTCTCAATTTTGGATAAATTTTCTAAAAATATTTTTTACTATCTTATTTTTTTTTCAAAATCAATTTCTATTTATTATTATTGAATTTTCGATTCTATTTTAAATCCGCTATATTTATAAATATAAATATTATTATTATTATAAAATTATTTTTTCTCTCGATATTTATTGAAAGTTTGTTTTTTTTTTGTTTTTTTTTTTATTAAATTATTTTACAAGTGTAAGATTTTTGCTGCCACCACTGCGACTGTTGAGTAATAAGATTGCCGTCATTAGAAAATATTTTCCATTAAGTATATTTCGCCTACACCCTTGAATCATATTTTTGTTATAAATGTGTCGTGTATTTGTCTTATTTCAATGTTGAGAGTGTTTCCTTTTTTTTTGGTAGAAAAGAAAAAATAGAATAAAAATTGTGTTGTTTGTAAAAAAAAAAAAAAATTGCGATTGAGTCACAAACCAATCTTGTAATATATCTATTTGTACATTTTTTATACATATGTTACAACGTAATTATATTATATGTATATGCGCCTATGAAATATATACGTATAAATACTTAGAAATGTGAATACTAGTTAGGCAAAAAGTGTATTAATGTTGATAGGTTGTAGGCTGTTACTTAGATCGATTAACTCGTTGCAATCTTATGGTGTGTGACTTGGTCGCAGTGTCACGAATATTATTATACGAAAGTCTAAATGGTATGCGGTACTATTAATTTTTATCAGGTTTAATTCGTATCTCGCTCGCGCACACGCGCGTATAAAGACTTAAGGGAAAGAAAGAAGAATGAATTTTGAACGAGAAAAAAAAAGAAATTGGAATTACGTTCGTAGAAATGTTGAATTTTTTTATTCAGTCATTGTTCTCGTTCTCAATAACTTATCAAGATGACCGCTTTTGGTTCGTTGTGTAAAGAATGAGCGGACAAAATTCCAAGTGCTAACTCAAAACATTACTTCATTATTTTCTTCTTCTTCTTCTTTTTCTCTTCTAGTTTAGATAGATTCATTATCATTTAGATTTATTGTAGTTTAAACGAAATGTGTGTGGTGCGCGGGAGAGAACTTAATAGAATGATTATAAAAAATAAAGAGAAAATGCGAAAATGTGCGAACCATTCTTTTTTTATACTCTGAGAAAACTATATAAGACTGGTATTTTCGCTTTTACGACAAATAATAAATAGTACTCGTTATTTAAAAGTACTACTTGTATTTGTTCGCAAAAGCTCTTGTTGTAATTACTCATATAAAAAACTTCTTTTTTTTGGAGTAAAAGAGAATGGTTCTAATTAAAATATTATTGAGATCTTACGATTTCAATTAACTTATTAAATAAAAATGTTTTCTTTAGATAGAAAATTATGAGAGCAATTACGTTTTTTTTTTCTTTTCTTTTTCTTTTTTTTCTCTCATGTTTATATTCAAAAACGTCAAGTTTCTCATAATTTTTACACTCTATTGAATTTAAATAGGTTTTAGTCTATTTATGCACATATGTAGTTCTTTATAGAGAAAGAAAAATGAATCGTCATTTTGATTTTACGAAATTTAATTAAATCCACTTTCTTTAGAAAAGAAAAAAAAAAGAATGAAGGAAATATTTCAAACAAAAAAAAAAATTTTCAAAGCGAAATCAAAGCTAATGTGAAAAACGCTTCGAATATTAATCGCAGTATTACTAAAATTACGTACGTACACATTTTACATTTACATACATAAAATTATATGTATGAAAACATAAACATAACACAGAAGTAGTTCTACACTAACATGGAATTTATTTATATTAAATTTTTCGAAACATCAAATTTTGTTTTGTTTCTTAATCAGGGTGTCTAGTAATTTAGAAATATAAAATTCCCGGGGTTTTCCCGGTTTTTTCCCGGTATGTAAATAATTTTCCCGGATAATTGAAAACTAAAATTTTACAGTAAATTTAATCGTAATATTTGTAAAACTTATAATAAGAATTGTATTGTGATTTACTTGACGGTAATTTCATGTTTAAAATCAAAAACAGGTGTCGCATCACTGTAAAAATTTGGCACAAGCTTCCCAGTGGGCAAAAAACCATCATTGTTTTAAAAACGTTCCAAAAATGTTTTTAGAACGTTTCATGTCTGCCAAATAACGTCCCAATAACGTTATATGTTTCTAAAACGTTTTAAAAGCAATGGAACGTTTTTGGAACATTATTTGGCAGACATGAAACGTTCTAAAAACATTTTTGGAACGTTTTTAAAACAATGATGGTTTTTTGCCCACTGGATTGTCACATCGAAAATCATTTCCCATATAAGTTAGGTCTTAATTGGACAATAATAAAACATTGTCTAATATACGAAGAGAATCAATATACAATTCGAAATTGAAAAAAAATTAAGTTAAGCGTTGAAAAAATGTAACTATTTTTTCCAACAACATAATAAAGTACTTCATAAAAAAATTCCCGGATTTAAAAGAAAATTCCCGGGGGTTTCCCGGTTTTTCCCGGGAAAAAAAAATTCCCGGGGTTTTCCCGGTTTTTCCCGGATTCCCGGTTCGCTAGACACCCTGTTAATCACCTCACCCTTTAGAAAATTAAATTTAACATTATATTTAATTATTTCATTTTTTGTAAACTATAATTATAAATAATTCATACAGAATTTTTCACTAAAATTCTTCTTCGAATTAATTTTTAATAATTTTTGAAAAAGTTTTTTGAGAATTTTAAAAATCCATTTTTTACAATTCAATTTTATGAAATTTCGATTATTCGGCAAATTCTTCGATTAAATATAATAAATAAAAGATTCAAATAATTTCAAAAAAAAATTTCAATTAATCTTCTTTAAAAAAAATAATACTACAGAATTTTTATTTAAAAATATGAAAACATTTTAATTTGATACCTTTTCAAAATTCAATTATTTCTAAAAATTCATGCCAAAATGCTTTTAATATTCAATTATTATCTAAAATTTAATTAAAATTCACTTTTGAATCAATTTTTATTGGAAAATTCTACGTCAATTCAATTATTTAAATATAAAAATAAATAATTGATTGAATAATTGAATATTTCTTTAAATTGAATTCTCATAAAGAATTTTATCAACAAATTTTTTAATAATTCGATTCTGTTGACGAATTTTAATAAAATTTTTAAGAATAATTATATTTTTTAAGAAATTCGATTAAAATTATATTAAAGATAATTTAGAAACAGCGATACATTTTATTATTTATGAAAATAATTGAAATTATTGCGAAGAAATTTATTCTTTTGGAAATTTTTATTAAAATAGTAGATATTGAAAATCATTGAATTGAGGACAATTTTTGAAAATATGTAATTGAATTTTAGAGAAGAATTTTATTATTTATAAAGATAATTGAAATTTTTCCAAGAATTTTGTTAAAATATTTGAAAATTATTGAATTTTGGAGAAGAATTTTATTATTTTAGAAGATAATTGAAATTTTGACAAGATTTTTTTTTAATAATTGAATTCTTTTGGAAAGTTTTATTAATTTTGAAAAATCATTGAATTGATTAAAATTGTATTAAAAATAATTGAAATTCTGCAATGAGTTTTATTATTTATGAAAATAATTGAATTCTTAAAAAGAATTTTATTTATTTACCTACGAGAATAATTGAATCTTGTAAAAAATATTATTGTTTATGGAAATAATTGAATTATTGCCAAGAAATTTAAAAAAAATTTGTAAATAATTAAATTCTTGTGGAATTTTTATTATTTATGGAAATAATTAAATGTTTGCGTAGAATTTTATTAAAATTATTTTTAAATAATTGAATTCTTCTTGCAAATTTAATTAATATCCAAAAAACATTCATTTCTAGAAAAATTTTGAAAATAATTTAAATCTAGCCAAGAATTTTATTAAAATATTTGAAAATAATTGAAATTTCGAGAAGAATTTTATTATTCATAAAGATAATTGAAATTTTGACAAGAATTTTTTTAAATAATTGAATTCTTTTCAAAAGTTTTATTAATATTGAAAAATCATTTAATTGAGGAAAATTTTTTAAAATAATTGGAATTTTGACAAGAATTTTATTAAAATATTTGAAAATAATTTAATTTCAGAGAAGCATTTTATTATTTTTAAAGATAATTGAAATTATGATAAGAATTTAAAAAAATTGTTAAATTTATGTAATTGAATTTCTGAAATAATTTATAACTTTTCCAAAATTCTATTTTTTTGTCTTTTTAACTAAAATTCTTCTATAAATCCGTTATTTTTAATAATTAATTAAATGTATATTCAAAAATTTAACTAATTTCAAAAGAATTTGAATTATTAAAATTTTTCAATAATCTAAGTTCTTTTTTCTAATTTCGCTGACTTTTCCTTGGATTCCCTGACCTGTGGAAACTCTATTAATAGTTGAAACTATTATTATATTATTAATAATATAATATAATAAATAAATAAAAATTAATTAATTTTAAATAATTATATTTGATAAAATTTAATTTTACTTTACAAGTACGTTAAATAAAAGATAGAAAATTGTTAAAATAAACGATTTTTTTTTAGCGTTAAAAATGAAGTTTCGTTCGTCTTTAAACGGAAACGAATATTAATTAAAAATTGATCAAAAAAAAAAAAAATACTATAAAAAATATAAAATTATATAGATATAAAATTATTCATTATCGTTCGGAATATGTTTCAGGAGATGTTTTTTCAAGTCTGGCATATTTTTAGCTAAAAAAGAACATTTGTGGCATTTCAGAGCAGTTTTCAAGTGGTTTTTCATGGTCTCTGAATTTATTTTAAGTCGACCTTCTTCTTGAATACTTTTGTGTACTTCTGCAATTTTTATATGCAATTTATTTACGCGTTTACTTATTTATCTAGTTATCTTAATACTCTAATTATAATAATCTAATAATAATACTCTAGTTATAATAATAATAATATAATTAGGATACTTTAGTTATAATTATAAAATAGAAGTACTTACTCTCCGGTAGTAGAAAAAAAGGAGTTGTAAAAGAATTCCAATGGTTTTTCGTTTTCAAACAAGAACTATTAAAATCCGTGCTGATCACGTGCATATGAAGTCGTTGCATACTTGGAATTGCATGATAACCTATGCTGTAAAAATAAAGAAAACAAGATGATTATTTCAATTGAAAAGTGAGTTTATCTCTGAATAATAATTGTCATTCATTATACACTATTACGTCATTGCCTCCAGATTAAAACTTAATTTATTACTATATAATTTGACTTACATGAATTCGTAATTCTCGTGCTTTTTGGTCAAATTTTCACCAACTTCCTCCATGTGTTCGAGAATATTTAAATGCTCTTTTTTCACATGCGTAATAGAGTTTATATCAGTTTTCGATATAACTAAATAATGAAATTTTGCCTTTGGATATTTATCCTTGATAACAACAACAAGATCGTCTTCGAGAACTTTTAATTCCGGATCATCCATTGAATTCATCATTCCATGTGACCAGTGGGATAGTTTACTTTTTTTAGTTGCAATTTTATTCGTTTCATCGCCTATTGTTCTTTTCATTGTTGAAAATAATACCGAAGATACTAATAAACGTTTCATACAATAATGACGAGGTAAAAAACAAATTTAATAAACACTTTATCGTTATCTCAAAACTTTGAAATCGGTAAGTTGATTTTGTTAAGGTTATGTCCGTTATGTTGCACTTACTGATTTCTACGAGTTTACATAGTTTACGTGAATTACATTATTAAGCTTCGTTCACAGGTCGTAAAATTTAAAAACGGGGGTGCTACCCTCTGTACCAAAAACATAAGTTCGAATGCTCATTATGCCGAATTTACAATTTAGAAATGACCAGATACGCGAATCCTCAATAACCTAAATTGTATATTGAATGAAATTCAAAAGTAGGGAATAATCATTTGATATATTCTGCATATGGAGAATATTATTTTAAACTAATTCTTTTTTTCCACAATTTGAAATTATTGCAATTTTTATTTTTGGAATTTCCACTTTACCTACATTTTAATAGATCGAAACGTAAAATATCAGAATTGACATTTAATTGAAATATGATGGAGAATAAATATATATTCACTGAATAAAAAGATTAAATAATTATTAAATGTTTGAATTTAATAAAAACATATTGTTCAAAAGTTACAGTGCGAATTGTACAGAATATATATTAATAAGAAATATAATTTGGCAGAATGTCGATTCGATCGATTTTATATTTGCAAGAAATTCAATTTGACAGAATATCAATTTATAAGAAACACGTTTTCGTAGAACTTTAACTTGTCAGAATTGTAATTTTGTAGAATATTAATATTGGCAAATCTAATTTTGGTAGAAATCTGCTTTATCAGAATGATCACATGTTCGAATCCTCAAAAGTTAGAATTCCATTTTTACCGAAAATGGATTCCACATAAATATTTGGCGCAAATTTTAAAATTCTGATTTCTGATTGGTCGATTTTAAAATTTGCGCCAAATATTTATGTGGAATCCATTTTCGGTAAAAATGGAATTCTAACTTTTGAGGATTCGAACATGTGATCATTCTGATAAAGCAGATTTCTACCAAAATTAGATTTGCCAATATTAATATTCTACAAAATTACAATTCTGACAAGTTAAAGTTCTACGAAAACGTGTTTCTTATAAATTGATATTCTGTCAAATTGAATTTCTTGCAAATATAAAATCGATCGAATCGACATTCTGCCAAATTATATTTCTTATTAATATATATTCTGTACAATTCGCACTGTAACTTTTGAACAATATGTTTTTATTAAATTCAAACATTTAATAATTATTTAATCTTTTTATTCAGTGAATATATATTTATTCTCCATCATATTTCAATTAAATGTCAATTCTGATATTTTACGTTTCGATCTATTAAAATGTAGGTAAAGTGGAAATTCCAAAAATAAAAATTGCAATAATTTCAAATTGTGGAAAAAAAGAATTAGTTTAAAATAATATTCTCCATATGCAGAATATATCAAATGATTATTCCCTACTTTTGAATTTCATTCAATATACAATTTAGGTTATTGAGGATTCGCGTATCTGGTCATTTCTAAATTGTAAATTCGGCATAATGAGCATTCGAACTTATGTTTTTGGTACAGAGAGTAGCACCCCTAAAAACGCGCGCCAAAATATTACTACCCAACCCTGATACTTGTCAAAAGTGAAAAATTATCAATCCACGTGAAGTATTTGGAGGATTTGGAGTATTTCTATATTTTATAATATAGTGAAACATTAATTGAGATTGATCGTGATAGAATAAATAAGTCACGATGGCGGAATTCGTAGAAAAGCGATGCGAGGATATGATTCTAGAACTCGAACAAATGGAGAGAATAAAATTGTTCGATAAGAATGAAGTCAGGTTTGTAGAGGTTATGTTTTTAATTTTGCCGTGAAAAACAATATTATTTATCATTATATTTTAATGAAATATTTCGTTATTAGGCCTATTCTTTATGAAATTAATTTTTTTCCAAACTTTCAAAGGTATATAATTAAAACTTTGAGATTAACAATCACGAGTTAAATTTGACTCGGAGTGATCAAAGTTTTATTTATATTGACTCGGAGCGTTCAAATTTTTATTTAGAATTAAGACTGTCGAGTGTTAAAAACAAATATGTAATTACATTTCAGAGGTATAGCTAAAAATCGAAAAGAACATGAGTATAAAATAGAAAGACACACAAAGTGTAAAGAAGATTATTTGAGATATATTCAATATGAAATGGATCTTCTGAAACTTGTCAAGCAGCGCAGAGAGGTAAATAACAACAATGTTGTTATGATTAACTATAAACAAATCTTTAAAAAATTATTCTTGACCCTCAATTGATGTAGAGATGAAGTTTAGTTGTAAATTGTAGAAAACAATTGAACTCAGAAAGGATTTTAATTGCAATTTTTATAAATTATTAAAATTCATCTAAATTTTATTCTGTAAACTTTCATATTTTCCTGTAAAAAGAATTTTGTCTAAAAGTGTGAATCTATTTTAGAAACTTGGCATCACTCAAAAAAAGTCGAGCATTGATTATGCGATTGCAAACAGAGTTAATCGTTTGTATAAACAGGCAATATACCGTTTTCAAGACGATGTTCGATTTTGGATTGCATATATGAAATTTTGTAAAAATGTTGTAAGTATATTTGAAGGTTTATTAAAACCTTTGTTTACCTTTTATTTACAAACAATTCTAGTGTCTCTTTCAGGGTTTATTAACTTTTTTTCTTGTCTTTTTTTACAGGGTTTCCAAAGTTCCCTTGGTCGAATGCTTGGGAAAATGTTACAAATCCACCAGGATAAGCCAAAGTGTTGGCACATTGCCGCACAGTGGGAAATAGAAGAAAGTAAAGATTTACAAAATGCCAGACAACTTCTATTACGTGGCTTGCATTTTCATCCAAGTTCCTCATTACTTTTTATCGATATGTACAAGTAGGTTTTATTTATTTCAAACTCTTCCTATTTTTAACAATAATTGAACTTTACATATTTAAAATTAAAAAACTAACTTTATGTGTGGACAGAATGAAAGAAAAAATACGACAATTATTATAGTTAATTACTTATTTTTTTATTTTACCTATTTACTGGAGTATTTTATGATTGCAGATTGGAGTTGAAAGAGGCTCTTTTAAAACAAAGTCAAGGTAGCAAAACAGAAGAATTGCCAACTGGTGAAGATGGCGAAATTCCAAAAGAATGGAAGAGAGTCCATGTGGTTTATGAGCAAGCATTCAAGATGGTGAAGGATATTAAATTTGTCATTGAATTGCTAAATGTTACAAAAGAATTTGAGAACACTGAATCATTACAAAATAAAATTGTCAAGTAAGTATTTTTTTCTAAAGTCATTTTCAGTTCAGTTTCAATTCAATTTCATTTCAATTTCATTTCAATTTTATTTTATTCTTATTTTATTAGTATTTTATTTTATTTCGGTTTTATTTCATGTCTACTTTCAATTATTTCTATTAATTTCTATATTATTTCTATTTATCTTTATTCTATTTTGATTTTATTTTCCATTTTAATTTAATTATTTATTAAAAAAAATTACAGTGACATGGTAAAAGAATATTCTAACGAGCCGCTATTGTGGGACACAATGGCAAGACGTGAATTATTAGAAACTTCGAGTACTAATAATGCAGCAATGGAAGTTGATTGCGCTGAAGTATCGTCCTTAAGAGATCGCATACTCTCTTGCAATGAGATATTTCAAGTGGCTGTTAAGAAACTTCGAAACGAGGAAATTTGGTCCCTTTACATTGACTGTCTTCTAGATTTAAATCAAGAAAATCAATCTTTACCTAATCTCAAAAGAAAATTATTAAAAACAGCTTTATCACAAGCACATCAAGCGAAAAATTTAAAAGAACAACATTACTTATATTGGGTAATGAAAATTATAAAATTTTAAATCTACATTTAAAAGAACAAAAATTTTCAGTTAAATTACAATTTTTATTTTTCTTACAGATTAAAATGCTGAGTAATGATAAGAAAGATGAAAATACCCAGACAAAATTAGCCCAAGTTTTGGCGTGGTCAACTGAAAGTTATCCCCAAAGTGAAAAACTCTGGCATCTTAGATTAAGTTATCTTCTCACGACGAATAATGAAGACCAGTCGAATGAATTATTTAAACAAGTACGTATAAATGACTTTTTTTTTATTTTTTCCAACTATTTTAAAAAAATTTTTTTATGAAAAAAGTGGCCACCCCGTTAATACAAAAATACAATTTTGGTTAAAAAAAAAACACTAAATCTAAATGTTACTTTTCAGGCTACAGAGCAATTGGGAGAGAAATCGTTATCTCTTTGGAAAATGAAATTATTGCACGTACAAGCAAAGAATCCGGAAAAGATTCAAGAATTCTTTCAAGCTGCACTCCTTGGTCCTCAGAATGTAGCAAAGGATATGAAACCATTGTATTTGGAGTGGGCAGTGTTAACAAAAAGTAAGAATTATTTTATTTTCGTCAATTTGTTTATTTATTTTTTTTTAGTATATTTCAATATTTGATACGAAAATTACGAATAATTTTTCTCCACCTAGATATTACGGAGACTCGAAAAATTTACAATTCAATAACTCAGCAACCGCCATTCTCCTACGAATTGCATAAAAAAATGATAGAAATCGAAAATATGCAATCAAAAATATCTCTACAGTACACGAGAAATGCTTATGAATTAGCAATAATGCAATTTGGCAAGAATCGAACTGATTTATGGTTGGATTACACGATATTTGAAATGAAACATGGCGATCCATTGAAAGCGGCCGAGATACATGCAAGAGCAGTGAAAACATTGTATGCAAAATTAACTGATAAATTTATAGCCGATTATACATTACTTAAAGCAAATCCCGAATCGAAAAGTACATCTCGTAATTAAGGTTTGTCTCGTAATTTTAATTTATAAATATATGTGTACAGTAAGAATAAAGAATTGACTTAATTTTCCAGAGGAATCTCCTTGTTCATGTGTGTTAAAATGATATTTCGATCTGTTTCATTAGTTAGTCGTGCTCGATCGCCAATTTTTAGGGAAGAACGATTATCCAGGCACATTATGTCAGTCATTAGTGAATGTTGTTTGTCTTCTAAATTTTTGCTTATTCGATTCAGTAATGTTTCTAAATTGTTGTAGGTGGCTCTGAAAGAAGAAAAATATTTTCATCATAAATTAATAGGTGAAGATTGATACGTAGTCATAGAGAAGGAATGTGGATAAGTGTACTAACTTAGCACTATTTAGTTCGTTAATTAAATTTTGTTTAGTTTGTCGTAATTGTAGTACTTCGTGCTTTAGTCCATCCTGACTTTGATCGCGACACAATTCAAAACCAGGGCGACAGGTTCGATTTTCTAATCTTGTCTCAGCACATTTAACAGCATCTATTTTTGCAAAAATCGCATCATCTAGGAGTGTTATTTCTTTCTGTAATTTTTCCATTTCTCTCTGCATCTATTTTAATTGTTTCGATTAATAATGCTGATAATAATAAAAATAATTATTATTATTCAGGATTGCAACAGGTGAAGGGAAGTCAGGAAAAATAGAATTGGCCAGGGAAATCAGGGAAAAATCGGGGATTTTTATTAAAAGTACTGGAAAAAATTAAATTTTTAGAATTCAGAAGAGAATTTTGAATTTTTTTGTCTTTTTTGTTTGCCTTGTAAACTATGAAATTCTCACGAATTCTAATACAAAACCTTCAATTTTTACTATTTCTGACAATAATTTCCTTTTAAATAACTCAATTCTTGAACAACAATTATAAAATTATTATTTATAAATTATTTAACGAATAATTTCACTTAAGTATTTCAAAATTAGTTGAATTCAAAAGGTTTTAATTTAAAATTTGAGAAAATTTTAATTTTGAATGAATTTAATTCGAAATTTTAAAAAACTTAGATTTTTGAAAAATTTTAATAATAAAATTCTTCTGAAATTAGCTACATTTTTTAATATAAATTTAATTAATTATTAAGAATAACAGATTTATAGAAGAATTTTAGTTTAAAAAAACTAAAAAAAATTGAATTTAGGAAAAGTTACAAATTATTTCAGAAATTCAATTACAAATATATTCAAAAATTTTTTAAAACTCTTATCATTATTTCAATTATAATAATAAAATGCTTCTCAAAAATTCAATTACATATTTTCAAATATTTTATTAAGAATCTTGGCAAAATTTCAATTATTTTAAAAAATTGTCATTAATTCAATGATTTTTCAATATTAATAAAACTTTTCAAAAGAATTCAATTATTTAAAACAATTCTTGTCAAAATTTCAATTATCTTTATAAAAAATAATAAAATTCTTCTCCGAAATTCAATTATTTTTAAATATTTTACTAAAATTCTTTTCAAAATTTCAATTATCTTTATAAATAATAAAATTCTTCTCCAAAATTCAATTATTTTCAGAAATTTTTCTCAATTCAATGATTTTTCAATATTAATAAAACTTTTCAAAAGAATTCAATTATTTAAAACAATTCTTGTCAAAATTGCAATTATCTTTATAAATAATAAAATTATTCTTTAAAATTCAATTATTTTCAAATATTTTAATAAAATTCTTGGCTAGATTTCAATTATTTTCAAAAATTTTTCTCAATTCAATGATTTTTCAATATTAATAAAATTTTTCAAAAGAATTCAATTATTTAAAAAAATTTAATAAAATTCTACCGAAACATTTAAATATTTTCATAAATAATAAAACTCATTGCAGAATTTCAATTATTTTTAATACAATTTTAATCAAATTCCTCGAAAAATGTAATTATTCTTAAAAATTTTATTAAAATACGTCAAAAGAATTCAACAATTTAAAAATTTGTTGATAAAATTCTCTATGAGAATTAAATTTTAAGAAACATTCAATTATTCTATAAATTATTTATTTTTATATTTAAATAATTGAATTCTTGTAGAATTTTCTAATAAAAATTGATTTAAAAATTAATTTCAGTTAAAATTTTAGATTATAATTGAATATTAAAAGCATAACGTAGATTTTTTATAAATAATTAAATTTTGAAAAGGTTTCAAATTAAAATTTTTGAAAATTGATTTAACCCTTAAACCGCACCCTGGGTGTGCGACACCCATATTCTAGCTTTTTACTCTAATATTTCGGTTAAATTCGTAAAAATTGAACATGTGTCGTTATTGGACGATACATTTTGTACTTAAGTTTATGTTCCGTGAGGGACATTAGTCTCCCAAGTGTCTTTGTGTATTTGATAACTTTATGAAGTTGTCGGCGAAAAATTTCTGCTTGTTTGACACCCAGTTTTTGGTTTAGGGTAATTTCAGTAGTTTTTTTTATTTTTTTTTCAGTAGTTTTTTTTAGTAGTAGTTTAAAAAAACTATTTTTTAATTATAAAAATTAAATAAATCATTATGAAACTTATTTTCCTTCAAAATAGATGTACTGAGCTATATAAGATAATTTTTCCAAAAGATAATATCCTATTCCAGCTTGGAGAACACACTTAAAAGTCCCCGGGTGTCGCACACCCAGTGTGCGGTTTAAGGATGGATTCGGCAGTGTGCGGTTTAAGGGTTAAAGAAGAATTTTAGTTAAAAATTGGAAAAAATGTAATAATTTTGTCTGGAAATTTGGGAAAAACAAAATTAAATTTTTGCTGCAACCCTGATTATAATAATAATTATATAGTAGAAAAGAATTCGTATTGCATGATTTTAACAAAAACGATATACTTTTAATTTCTGCCAATCGAGTTCATTTCTCGATTTTTGTGTTTGATAAATTCTTTTTCTCAATGTGAAATCAGTCATATCTTGTTGAGCTCTAATATCATTTCTTGTTCTATCTCTTGCATCTTGAATAGATTCTCGAAAATTGTACATATCTTGTAATTCGTTGTCAGCCAAAAGTTTCACATGCTGACAGTGTTGTAGCCAATTTTCATAAGAAACCATTCTGTTAAAAAAAAAATTATTTTCATATTTTTGTGTAAATTTTTTATGTAAAACAAAATTTTTATGCATAACAGAATTTATATTTATATACTCTTTTGTCATTCTCAGTGCATTTGGTTTGTAACTGATATTAGCACATGTTTTACTTAAAGATGTATTTGTTCGATCAATTTCAAGTGCTTCGTGTTTATCCTGCAATTCCAAATTGAGAGTGAATTTCACTTTTTCCAAACGATTCAATCTTTCCCAAGCTGCTTGTATCCTAGAAAAGAAAAAGAATAAGTGGATAATTTTTATTTATGTTTAGTTTTTATTTTTGTGATGTAAATTTTTTTTAGTTTCATGAACTCGGTTTTTTTTAGTTCAAAACATCAGTATAGTTCATATACTTGTTCGTTAGTGTTTTCTTTGCTCCTTCTAGAATGCAGAGTTCGTTTTTTAATTCTGTGTCGCCATCGTCGTAGGTTAATTCAGTGCTTCTTCGACAATCCCGCATCGATATGCATTGAGAAGTTATTTGCAGTGGTAAATTAATGAATTCCAGTTCTTTCTCGGCGTCTGCTTTTTCATCCTTCAAAAGACAAATTTCCCTTTCTGTCTGTTCGAGCAATTTTTGAAATATTTTCTCCCAGCGTGCCAGTTCTGTTACTCTGAAATTCATTCGTGACATTCGTTTTTCTTTTCGGCAAAAGTATCGCTTACGAGACAAAAAAAATTTTAGGTTATGTTTACGATCGTTTTAACTTGATTAATACGCTTTTTTATAATTTGTAAAACCAAAAGTAGGTTTTCTTGAATATTTTAGATGTAATAAGGATTTAAATGTCATTAGTTTGCATTCGCAGTTTATTCTCTTCGTGTATTTTTTTCACTTTGAAATTGACAAACATAACCTAATATATTTTCCGCGTGTAAAGCTTGGAGCGTCATTAAGAATTTAAAAAAAGAAAATGTGAATTTATGTATAAAAATTAACCTGTCGGATAATCTGACAGTGTTTAGCCGAGTGTCCCACTCTGTTTTTATTTGAGTTTCTGATCGAATTGTTCTGCCCGCATTCCTTAAATTAAATGCCTCCTCTCTTCTACTTTCAGCACTTTTCTGAAGTTCCCATTGCTTTGCATACCAATCAGGTAATCCTAAATGATAAAATAAATCCTAAATTTCTAACCGCAATATTTCTACTTATTTTTACTGTAAATACTCTATCGTTTGTCTACTTTTTCTTAGTCTTCTTACCAATGTGAGCTGTCGGTTTTTCATAAGTGGTAACGGACTTCGCCATATTTAACAATTGAACAATAATATTTAATATCAAAAATTTTGTAAAAAATGTTAATGTTCCAGAAAAGCTTAGTTATCTAAATGATCTTGTGATCTAAATAATTATAACAAGTGATGACAAGTTATTCAGTTGCTCAGGTAACAAATGTAAACAAACGACGAAATTCGATCGATACTGTAAAAACCGTTACTGACCGCATAAAAAATAATTATTAACTTCAGTTGAACTATTAAAAGACTAATTTTAAAGGAATTAGGAAAAAAGACTTTTTGTCTTTTTCTATATTAAATAAATACCGTACTTAAGAATAAGTTAATAATTTTAAAAATTACGTTAAAAACCAGGAGAGAAATTTCATTGGTAAATTCTTTAGTAAACATTGTTTTCAAAAAATCGCGCCAAAATGAACAAATCAGGTGCTTGGAAATATTTTAAAGTTGGCAATAAAAACTACAGGGTTGGTAGAATTTATTTAATGATCGTACAGTTCCGTAATGTTTCGTGCAATGTCGGAATCTCCGACTCAAATATTCGCTACAACGATGAATGTGTGTGTCAGTGTGTATCGTTTAACTGGAAAACTAGGAGGTAGGTGTAAAGATTTGTGTATACGCGGCAAAACAAATTGTTTCTTTATAAAAACTTAAATTCAATATAAATCAAATATAAAGACACATTAAGTCTTATTTTCTTACAAATTGTGTTCAATTCTAATTTTTTCTTTTCCTTTTTCCTATTATTTGTTTTAGAAATACTCTCGATATACAACGGTGTATTCCAACTTTTATGAACCTAAAAAGCAAGGGTGGAAAGAAATATTGAAAAATTAAAGAAATTTTCATTTCGTTATAAATAAGAAAGTTAAAAGAAAGCTCTTCGTAGTCAATTTTTTATTAAAGTGAAAAGCACATGCGAAAATTAAGTATGAAGGGAAAAAGGAGGAAGTCTGAAACAAGCGACGGAGAGTCGGAAGAAAATGGCGTCGCGTCGGGCGTCTCGGGCGTCACGCGGGCTTCTGATAACGAAATGGATGAAACGGACAGTGAAAAATCAGAAACTACATCACGCAAATCAAAATCTAATAATAAAAGACGTTCATCGCGTTCACGGGGCAAACAAAATGATTCTGTTGATGAATCGGTTGATAATGAGAGTCAGGAGAAGCCGGCCGGAAGCGAACAGGAAAATGGAACCGCCAACAGTAAAGGAGGTACATCCAAACGACGCAAGAAGGATGAAAAACCCGTGGAAAAGGAAAAACCCGCATCCGACGAGGAAAACAATGAAGACGATGAATATGAAGTAAGCTTTAATTATTTTAAAAATTGTTTATTTTTTTATTTTCTTTTTTGTTGACTCTGAACCAGTATTAATGTTAATTTTTTTTTCTGTTCGTCTAGGTGGAAAAAGTAGTTGCGCAACGTACCATTAAAGGTCGTCGTCAATTCTTGGTCAGGTGGAAAGGCTATGGAGAAGATTCCGATACATGGGAGCAGGAGAAGGATTTAAATTGTCCACAACTCATTGAAGAATTTTTAGCAGAAGCTGGTGATGAGGAAAAGGAAGAAAAGGAAAAACCAGCTGAAAAAACACCCAAATCTGGAAAAAGTAAACAAGGAAAAAAGTCTTCCAAGAAAGTCAAAAAAGATGAAGGTAAGAAAAAAATTTATTTCTTTATTCAAAAAAAAAAATTTAAATAAAGAGTCAAATTGCAAAATTTTTTTTTCTCTTTTTCAAGAATCAAAAGGCGCCGATGAAGAGGAGGACGACAATGATAATGAAGATAAAGAATTCGAAGTAGAAAGAATTATTGAAGTTCATTTCAAGAAAAATAAATCACGAGAATTTCTTATTCGTTGGAAGGGTTTCTCATCGTCTGACGACACTTGGGAACCGGAGGAAAATTTAAATTGTTCAGAACTTATTGAGAAGTTTATGGATAAAGTGGATAAAGCAAAAAAACAAGAAGCGAGAGAATTGAGAACAAATCCGGCTCTCACAAAACATTTTACACTCGGAGCGCATGGAAGACGACACTCACGTCGTCATGGGGATAAACAGAGGTAATTAAAAAAAAAAAAAAAATTATCGTTTCTTATTTCCCTTATCATTTTAAATTCTCAAACTCTCCCATATATAATTTCTTTTAATCTTTATTTTGTAGAGTAACCTACCGGGGATGTGATGAATGAAAATGAAATTCTTTACACTGATATACATATGCAAAACTTGAAACCGATGATTCACACTAGTGATAACATGTGCATTGGAAATGAAAATCTTTCCATGTTACCTAGTACTATGATTCTTTTTGAAATGTAATTTTTTTACAGATTTGTGAAATTAAGTCGCTTTTTAGTATTTTGATTATTTTTTTTATACTGTGTTAACTTTCTCTACAAAAAAAATATTTCCAAATTAGTTGATAGTATGTTTAATTATTAAAACATATAAGCTTTTTCATTAGAGAAAAATTTAATGAACTAACGATATAAATCTTTAAAAAAAAATACAAATTTTACTTTATTGCATAAGTTTTACTTGAATATGCAGTAAATAATGAAAAGGCCTATATGAGAAAGTTTATAAATAAAAAAAATATATATATACATACATATATATTTAAACCGTTGCCGTCGTCTAGCAATTAATCTAATCTACGGTTGTCAACGTACTGTGCAAGTAATCTACATATTAGATTAAATTTTGTTTAAGTATTGATTGTCAAAAATCAATAAAAATGTATGATTTCCAAATTATAATTCAATACAATTTATAAATGATTTCTCCATAGTTTTCCAAAAAAATATTATTCAACAACAAATGTAATGTACTATGAACTTTATGAATTTTTTTAAAAATTAGTTATTAGGATAAAAAAAATTTTGATCTTGTAAAATGTATTCTATTTTCAAAATTATAATTTAATTTAGAAATTACGAAAAAATACATGTAAAAGTTTTTCATTTCATAAAGTAACCTTTATTTTTAAAACACTTTATTTTTAATTTGCCTTCAATAGTTTATTTTTATTTACAAAAATTGTTTTTGCAGTCGAATTTAAATTTCGCGCCAAAAGAAAAAATAAAGCGGGATACGTGCGTAAATACCGTAAGTCACGTGGGTGCAAATACGTAACACACCAACCCAACCTTGACATTTCTTTGTGTTTCGATTTTTCAAAATGGCCACAGCATGAAGAAGCAGAGAATCGTGAGAAAAATCTTTCGGAAGAAAAAAAGTGTGTTTTACATAGTTTTCATTAATTTCGTCACCTAAAACAAGATTTATGTGAACAATTTTATTAATATTTCAAAATTAACTTTTTTTTTAATAATTTGGCTTTCTAAAAAAAGAAACAATTCATTTTTTTTTTATTAAAGGAGGACAAAAGAAACTTGTAATGCGTAATTGCTTTGGTCATCGCTTAAAAAAAGCAAGTTATTTTTTTCTTTAATAATCATATGGAATTTAATTAATTTATCATCTATTTAAGTAAATTTAAGGGTAAAAAGTTAGGAAGCAAAAAGTTTAAAAGGAAGCACGAAAAAAATATGGCGAGTGATTTCTCAAGCGAATGCAATGATGCAATTGCAATTTTTGACGACGAAAAGGAAGAAGGAGAAATATCTCTCGATGATGTCAGCTCATCGGAAGAAGGACACATAAATTATCAACGACGTATGGAGAAATTCCGTGATGGTCGCTTACAATTACAACCTCATCCTCATCATGCACCTACCGAAATTTCTAGCAGATACAATAGTTCGAAACTTCCTTACAAAAAAGGTAATAGCAGGAAAATTTTAAGTTGAATTTCTGAAAATTTTAGTATTTATTCTCTCTTATTCATAATATTTCGATTTGATTAATTGTTATATTCATTCATTCTAAATATGGAAATATTTGTTGATATATATATTGCTGAGTCATGTATTATTAATTTTTTGATATTTAATTTCCGTTTCATTTCTAATATAAACGTGAATAATGAGAGATTATTAATTCAGCTGCACGTTATGCTTTGTTTAGTATTCATTTTTATTAGTTTTTTGTGGTAATTACTTATATAATGAACAATTATGAAACATGTGCCATTTTTGTTTATTAACACCTTAATTTCTAAATTTGACATTTCATACGTATTCTATTATTTTTATTTATTCAGAGAGCTATTATTCAATTTACCCCATTCGAATGAACTAGTAATTATAGTAATTTAATTTCAGTAATTTTATTATATTTGTAATGCTATTCATAGTTTTTTATTCCTCATGTTTATTCCCCTAAAATAATTTCGAAAATTGTAGTAATTTGTCAATTCTCTTTAGTAAAGTAAAGAATAGGGGAAAGAAAATTAAAGAAAGTATTAATGGAAAAAATTTATGTTTTTCAGGGTTGCCACAGATCAGGAAAAAGTTTCTGGCAATAATTTCTTTTAAAATAAATTAATTCTTGAAGAACTATCAGAAAATAATAACTTATAAATTATTTAATAAATAATTTTACTTAAATATTTCAAAATGAAATGAATTTTAAAAAATGTTGCGCTTACAATTTTCATATAAATAGATGGACTTAAAAATGTTTCAATTTCAAATTTTATAAAATTTCAATTTTCAAGAATTTTGATTCGAAATTTTAAAGAACTTAGATTTTTGAAAAATTTTAATAATTCAAATTCTTCTGAAATTAGTTCCATTTTTTACTATAAATTTAATTAATTATTAGAAATAATAGATTTATAGAAGAATTTTAGTTAAAAACACTTTTAAAAAAATTGAATTTTGGAGAAGTTACAAATTATTTCGGAAATTCAATTATATTCAACAATTTAAAAAAATTCTTATCAAAATTTTAATTATCTTTATAAATAATAAAATTCTTCTCCGAAATTAAATTTTCAAATATTTTAATAAAATTCTTGGCAAAATTTCAATTCTTTTCAAAAATTTTCCTGAATTCAACAATTTTCAATATTAATAATATTTTCCAAAAGAATTCAATTATTTAAAAAAATTCTTGTCAAAATTTCAATTATCTTTATAAATAAGAAAATTCTTCTTCGAAATTACATTATTTTCAAATATTTTACTACTTGTAGAAGTTACGGTAGCAGTAGTTTTATAATATAAAATAATGATTTGATCACTCGGTCGTCTTTAATTATTATAAAACATGAAGAAATGGATGGAAATGGTCTTCGACTCGGAGTGATTGATTTCTTCTTGTTTTATAATAATATTCTTATAAGTTGTTTTTGTGCCAACCCTGTTCTTAGATATTTTTCATCTTTAATATTTTTAATATTTGTACCAATTTGTATATTTTTTTTAAAATTATAATTATAAATTAAGTTATTTGTAGATTCTTTTGGTATGTTTACTCTATTTCTAATCAAGTAGAAGTACACCTTGTTACTTAAGATGCAGAGCAGGGGAAGGAGAACCATCATCTGATTAAAGACACAGGACACATGGGAGATCGCCTCACAAACTCTACACTGCAGGAAAAGAATGACGATCTCATTCCAATTTCAAGTGACAGCGACATGGAACTCGTCGGACTCCCAAAACGTGTACGTCGTGGAAAATCAAGTAAAGTTAAAAAAAAGAAAAAAAAACGAAAACCCCATTCTGCGTCGTCTGTTGTTGATAAAGATGACGAATCAATTGCCAATGAAATTGATGAGAATTTAACAATAATGGAACTTAATAATTCAACGTCATCGAAAGAAAATCGTTTGCTCAAACCACCTCATCATCATTATCATCATCATCGCGATAAAAGTCCACAATATAAAATGAAAATTTCACCAAAAAAACATAAATCATCATCGTCATCATTAATTGAAACTCGTTTAGCGGAGAAAAAAATTAAATCACCAATTCATAGATCAACGGAAATGAGGAAAAGGATAAAAAAATTTAAACCATTAGAGAAAATTGGACATAAAGAATTAATGAATCCACTTTATAAGAAAATACGAAAACGTCCATCGCCTACTGATATTGTATCATCATCGCCATCGACTGATATTCACGTGACGAGTTTATTGAAAAAAGTTCGACACTACGAAATGGTGGGAACTTTAGAAGATAGTAAAGTTTCGAGTAAAGCCAGAGATCACGGCACATCATTGAAAGATAAATTGAACAATATTCTTAAACCAACGGCTGAAAATAATGATAATAAAGAAACGGAAAATATTGCTGATAAAAAGAAAAATGAGAATGGCGACGAAGAAGAAGATTTGAATATCTTGAGGCAAAAGGCTTTAGAGACGAAGCAAAGTAAGAGTAAAAATCAAGAGGCAAATGTTGAGGAAATTACCGAAAATTCTAGTACGGAAATTGAGAGTAAAGATAATTCGATTGAAGAGAAAATTGCAGAAAATACAAATGAGGAAGTCAAGGAAAATAAGAATAAGAATAAGAATGAAGTCGAAGATGAAGAAGATGGTGACGATGATGAAGATCTAAAATTACGCTTAATAGCTCTTCGTTCCGCGGTCTATAAAAAACATCGCGATAGAGTTGCAAAATTACAGAAAGATAAGGAAGCAGCACCACCAAGATGTGAAAGTCCATTTAGCGAAAGTTTCATAAATAACATTTCCCTAGCCGAAGATGTTGACGAATTTCCCTCAAATTCTTCCGAAACTGCAAAAGATTCCAACAATAGTATCGAAGATATGGAATTAGATTCTGATATCGAGAGTGATATTGTTCTCGAAAAGGAGAACGTTCACAATGAAGATAAAGTTTCCAGAGAAATTGTTAATACGTCAAAAATGGTAAATTCCGAAAAAACCGATTTAGAAAAAGTCTCATCTCCGAAAACTGTTAATTTTGATGAAGCTCCCTATTCCCCAACGGACGCCGTCAACAGCGAATTAATTCTAGAAGCCGAACAATTGGGCATCGACACCACCGACGTTTCCCTAATAAACATAAATAGTAAAAATTTTTGCAAATTTGGTTCATATTTACCCGTTAGCAATAAAGAAAAAATTCCCACTGCAAATGCAAGCAGTATCATCTCAAATTCATCAAATTCGGACGTTGATTCAAGAACAAAATCGAAAAATTCCAATTTCGAAAGACCGTATTCACCTTCCGATATTCCTGTTTTCGATCCTGATTTAAACGTTTCTTTATTGGGAAATAACAATTTTTTCGATACAACAGCATCGGATAATAATAACTTTTCCATTAACGATAATTTTTCAAAAGAGCCTGAAGTTATTCTTATTGATGATGATTTTCCCGATATTGATATTGACGGCAGTCCTCTGGTGCCAATGGAAAAGGAATCAAATCTTATGTATCCAGGACATATTTCATATCAATTACTTCAACCTTCTTATCAATCACTTTGCTTAAATGGAATTCCACCCTTCGTTCATAATCAAATAGTACAATCTAATCCACTAGTACAATCAAATTTACTAAATCCACAATCAAGATTTACCGAAGAACTTCCAATCGGAAGAACTTATGAAAATTCATCAGTTCCGCCAATAAATGAATTCATACCCGAGCATTTCAATTCGAGTCAAATGCCATCAAACCATCCGATGATTGAACTATTGAGAATAAATCCACACAATCAACAATCAAAGGAAAATTTATCCATCAATCGTCCCGAGGTCGATTTCGATTTTGACAAAAGTACCAAAAAACCAAAACGAAGAAAACGATCTAAACGACATTTAATCGAATGTGATGAACCTCAAAATCCAAAAAGCCCAAATAGTACCGAAGATTCGATTCAATCAGCAAAAAGAATAAAAAATTCAAACACGGAACCAAATTATCAAAAATCCTTATTTGAAAATACTCTAGAAATAACTGTGAGAAAAAATGTCGAGGACATCGTGAGAAAATACACCGAGAACGTAATACGTGAATGTACGGAAAATAATATTCGGAAAGATGTTGAAAATATAGTCAGGCAATGCACCGAGCATATTGTCAGAGAAAATTCGGAGAATAATTTACGAAAAGGCGAGAATTTATCGAGAAAAGACCTGAGAGATTCCGAATATTTGGAGAGAGAGAATAATTTAAGAGAAGAAACCGAGAAGAGGAATGAAGAAATTTCAGGAAAGGACGAGGAGAATCGAACGAAAGTACAGAAAAATTCGAATTCGAACTCAAAAGAAAAAGAAAAAGATGAAAATCGAGAATCGAGAAGAAATAGTGTCGATGAAGACGAGGATGAACTGAGAGCAATTTTACTCGCCTCCATGGGAAAACGGACAAAATCGCCGAAAGTAAATAAATTTCCAATGCCAACGAAAAGTAAGGAAGTTGTTCAAAATTTATCAGTTGCTTCAACTTCAAAAAAAAGCACCGAGACTACTTCCGGAAAATCGATCTTGAATTCAACAAATCCTCAACTAACAACTTCGCCTAAAGAAATTTTATTGTCGAAAGAAATTTCAGTTCCTAAAAATTTGCCTCAAAAAGCCGCGTCTAAAGATATGAAAAATTTATCCCCTAAGGAAATACAACAGAAAAGTGATTCTAGTAATGAAAGTACAAAAGTTCTCCCTACTATTTCGTCTGTAAAAATTTTACCCAAAAGTTTACCTATAATTTTACCTAAAGTTTTGCCTATTTTACCAAAAATTTCATCCGCAAGAGTTTTAACTACAATTTTACCAACTGAAGATTTAACTAAAATAGCTACTAAAGAATCAACGAAAATCCCAACAAAAGTTTTGCCTCAAAAAACAGCAGCAAAAGCAAACCAAAAAATTCAAGAAAAAGTATCACCATCTAAAATCCAAACTCAAAAATTAACAAAAATCTCACCCACCAAGAATTTAACGAATAGAATTCTATCGACGAAAATCACAATAAACAATTCTTTAGCGACAACGAATTCAACGATAGGAAAAAGAAAAGCAACCTCCTGTCTTTTATCCGGAACGCCAAGGAAATTAATGAAAAAGCCAATGATACCGGCAAGTACAAAAGTTGTAAATAATGCGAAACGCTATCAAAATTCTCTAATGCAAAGAAAATTAAATTTACAAAAAGCAATTCTAACTCTAAATGCAAAGAAAATAATTGCCAATAAATCATTACGTGTTGTGAATCTCAATAGTCAAAATAATCGTTCATTAAGTCCAAATATAACGTCCGCGAATAATCAATCGGAACGATTTATCATTAGTTTAAATTCAGATTCGGAAAGTGATTCAGAAACGGAGAGACGAAATACAATTGTCGCTGTCACAAATAATAGCAGTGTAGAGAAACGTCCAACTCTCACAATACCAACAACTGAATTTGAGAGAAGTGTCGACCAATTTCTACGCGATGTACGAAAGAGGCAGGAGTCAGCGGCCGCCAAACAATCAACCAGTTTGACAAAAACTTTACCACCTCCCAATGAAAATGGGACGAATGGAAATAAAGTCTCTGCTAATATTACGCCTTTGGTAAGATTATATTTTCTTTTTTTTTTAAATGAAATTATTTTCTGGTTTATTTTTTATTTTGATTTGATTGATTGATTTGTTTAACAAATTGAGAGATTTGTTTATTTTGTATAATTTATTCGATTTGGTGAATTTTTCAGGCCTCGGATAATACATGATTTTTTCGACTTTCGTCGATTATTTGCAAAAAAAAGGCGACTTTTTCGATTTATTTTCGAAAAATGTGACTGTTTCGACTTTTCTTTCATATATTGAAATATTTCGACAGTAACCGAATTGCCACAGAATAGAGAAAACAGGGAATTTTAATCAAAGTCATGAAAAATACTAAAATTCTAACAATGCTACAAAAATTCTAGTTTTTTGTCAAATTGGAAAATATTGAAAATCATAAACTGCACTTGAATTTTCATTTTCGTGAGAAAAACGTAAAATAAAATCAGAAAGATTTACAGTTGGAATTTTTATGAAAAATTAAATTTTTGTGTGAAAAAAATTGAATTCTCAAACAACTTTCAAAAAATTATTCAAAACAATTAATTTAGAGAAAAATTTGAATTAGAAATTTTAAAAAATAATTGAATTTTAGAAGAGTTTTATGAGTAGAAATTTTTGGAAACATGTAAATTTCCAAATTATTTTATAAATCAATTATTTTAAATAATTTTAAGAAAGTTTTTTGACAATTGAATTATTGAAAAAAGGAAAAAAAGTTCGCACTTAAAATACGTGAAAAATTTAATTGTTTTCAATTAAATTTTACGAAATTTTAATTTTTTCGAAATTTTTTTCAGTGAATATAAATTTTAGAAATTCAACTAATTTCAAAAACATTTTAATTTTTCGGAAACTGAAATGCTCAGAATTTAATTGTTTCTAAAAATGTTTTATTAATAAATTTTTCCAAAATTCAATTATATTTCAGAATTTTTAATTAAAATTTTTCTTGTATTCTGGAAAATAATTGAATTTTGAATAAGTTACAGTTCAATTTTAAAAAGTAATTAAATTTCAGAAAGATTCAAATTGAAATTTTTGAAAATTTGAATTTTAAATAATTTTAATTGTTGTAGAAATGCAATAACATTAAAATATTTATTTTACAAAATTATAAAACTTTTGAATAATTTTAGTTCAAAATTCTAAAAAAATTTGAATTCTTGAACTAAAATAAATGAATAATTGTCGTCAAACATTCTCAAATATTATTACTAATAATTTATTTATAACAGAATTTCAGTTATAAAAATTCTAGACAATAATTGATTATCATTTTTGGAAAACTTGAATTTAAAATAATTTCAATTGCTGTAGAAATTCAATAGCATTTAAATATTTATTTAAAAATATTATCAAACTTTTGAATTTTAATTAAAAATTCTGGGAAATAATTGAATTTTTGTATTAATGTAATTGAATTCTCAAAGAACTGTCTAAAAATTAATCAAAACAATTTATTTTGAAACGAATGTTAGTTAAAAATTTTAGAAAATAATTGACAATTGCAAGATTATAGTTGAAATTTTTAGAAATAATTAAATTTCAAAAAGGTTTTAAATTGACATTTTTTTAGATTTGAATTCTGAATAATTTTTATTCAGAATTTTTTTTTTTAAATTAATTATTTATTGGTAATTTTTTGAAATTTCTAAATATATACATTCACTGGAAAAATTTTCGAAAAAATCGAAATTTCGTAAAATTGAATTGAAAACAATTAAATTTTAGACATAATTAAAGTGAAGTTTATTTTTCTTGCAAAATTCAATTCTTAGAGAACTTTTACAACATTGTAAAAAAATGTTTGATTTAGAGAAGAATTTTAATGATAAATTCTAGAAAATAATTGATTTTTTGAGAAATTTCATTATTAATTTTGAGTAGTAATTAAATTTCAGAAGGTTTCAACTTAAAATTTTTTGAAAATTTCAGAAGTTTAATTATATTTGATTTAAATTAAAGACAAAAATTACAAAAAATGTTGAATAATTTTATTTGAAAAGTTTAGAAAATAATTGAATTTTCAAAGAATTACAGTTTTGAATAATTGAGGGGACGGATTCTAAAAGGGGATACGCGTGGATTGTCACGTATAACTATTGACCAATAGTGCGATTTTCAAACATTTTCAATTTTCAAATTTAATGACACAAATTTATACACAATGAAAATGCGCATCTTTTTTCTTTAAGAAATAAATTTATATCTTTTTTAGTTTATGAAATAATGAGAAAAAACTAAATTTTTGAAAACCAAAAAATTTAAATGTTTTACGTCTTTAACTCGTGCTGGCGTTTTTGATTTTTCATATTTTGTAATCAAACAAAAACGAACTTACAGATTAAGACTTCCTGAAACCAACTATACTTTTAAAACTACAAAATCTTAATTAATAAAAAGTTTATTAATTTTTTCGAAAGACGTTGCAAAAAATGTGTTTTTCCAACTTTCAACGCTTCGTTTATCGAGGAAATTTTAAGGTACAAAAAACTTCCAGTGACAAAGTTTTTCATTACTATACGGACAAGTTTTCTGTAAAATTTTATTAACATGATATGAATGCTTACAAAGTTATTAATGTTTAAAGCGTATGGTGCGTCAGATTTCTCGCGCCTCGAACACATTGAGTCCCAAGGTGTTCGTTTGTAACGCGTTGAAAATGTGTTTGTCAATTAATATTGAATATTAATATTATTAATTAATATTCACAGTAAATAAAATTTAGTAAAATTTATTTTTAACATAAATGTTTTATTTTGTTATATATAAAAAACTCAACTACAATAATATTTCTTGTATTTAACTTTCTTGTTTTATTTAGTTTAAAGCTTCCACTCTTTGTCAAAATGATCTCATTTACTACATTTCATGTTTTTAAAATAATTATTAAAAAACTCCTGTCCGTTTGGAGAAATATCGTCCGGTTCTTGACCAAGATGGCCATAATGTTTTCTCAATTGTGATAAAAAAATCTCGAAATCCTGGGAAAATTGTATTGGGTTTTTCCGAACCCTTTTTTTTGCAGTCAACGGTCGCGGCAGCCGCGACCCATCTGGATACCATATTTTACTTAGAATGAAAACAAATCACAAGTTTGAGGAAAATATCATTTAAAAAAGGGTTACTTCCTCGAAAAGTGCACATGATAACCAAAAAAATTCTATTTTATGAAAATGTCTGACAAAATACAGATATAAATAAAATAAAAATACTTCCTCTATGAGAGAGCAATATGTTTTAACGACAATATAGAATATAGAAAATATAGAATTATTGTACAAATTATTTTGCAAATAATTCTGCAATATTTTTTAAAAAAATATTTCTTATATTATGTTTTTTACTTAGAATACATGTTAAAATAAATAAACTGATGCTACTTTTATATAAAGTTAGCCAAATCGTCATAATCTCATAGTTAAATATTATTTAAAAATAATTACTTTGATAGCAAAAAACTAGTCAATAACTAAAATTATAATATTTTTACTATTCTTAATCAACAATTATTAGTTTAATTAACATTAAATTTATGTCAAAATAACTATGCATTAATTATTTGTATGTCAGTCAATTTTAACTATCTTCAGACGATTTTGGCTAATTATTATTAGTTACTTTTTAATAATAAATAATCGTTTTTAACTAAACTGCGATTCCAAAAGTTATCTGTGACTTCATTAAAAATTGTATTTTTTTAAGTAAACAAATGAATAAACTAAAATAGTCTTAATCTGTTACAAACGAACACCTTGGGACTCAATGTGTTCGAGGCGCGAGAAATCTGACGCACCATACGCTTTAAACATTAATAACTTTGTAAGCATTCATATCATGTTAATAAAATTTTACAGAAAACTTGTCCGTATAGTAATGAAAAACTTTGTCACTGGAAGTTTTTTGTACCTTAAAATTTCCTCGATAAACGAAGCGTTGAAAGTTGGAAAAACACATTTTTTGCAACGTCTTTCGAAAAAATTAATAAACTTTTTATTAATTAAGATTTTGTAGTTTTAAAAGTATAGTTGGTTTCAGGAAGTCTTAATCTGTAAGTTCGTTTTTGTTTGATTACAAAATATGAAAAATCAAAAACGCCAGCACGAGTTAAAGACGCAAAACATTTAAATTTTTTGTTTTCAAAAATTTAGTTTTTTCTCATTATTTCATAAACTAAAAAAGATATAAATTTATTTCTTAAAGAAAAAAGATGCGCATTTTCATTCTCTACAAACTTCAGTAATTCAAATTGCAATTTGTAATAGTTTCAAAAATTGACCTAGTGGACAAAACTTAAACGCGTGAATCCACGCGTATCCCCTTTTAGAATCCGTCCCCTCAATTGGAGCTTAGAAATTTTGAAAAAATTATTTTTTTGTAAAATTGTAATTAAGAATTGTTCAAATCCAAATGAATATCCAAAAAGTAATTAATTGAGAAATTATGTTAAATAATTGTAAATTTTTTAAAATTTTATTGAAATTTTAATATTTTTGAGAATTTTATTACAATTTTTTTTAAATAAAAAATTGTATTTTTTAAGAAAAATGGGACTAATATTTTTTTTTAATTTTGTGAGGCGATTGTATTTTAGAAAAATTAAAAATTGAAGTTATGGGGTTAAGTGACAATCCTAAATGAAATTTTTTTCGTACTTTGAATCGACTGAAACGTCTTTTTTTGCATCTTAAAGTCAATCCGAGGCCTGATTTTCCAAAAATGCTTTGATTTAATTAAAAAAAAAATGTAAATATATGTACTATTAATTGAAAGATGGTCTATTTCGTAAAAGTGAAAATTGGAAAATGAGTTTGCAAAGAGTTTGCACGAAAAAAAGGGTTAATTTTGCTTTTACGAGTAGCTTGTATGGAGATTATTTTATAGGCACTTCGTCACTTGCCAGTATCGCAACAAGCAGAATACCATCGATTGAAGCAGCAGATTGTCGAGCGTGAAAAATTAAAATTGCAGAGATCCACTGCTCCTGGATCGACTTCGAATACTAATAGTGTTATTCCACCAGATCCTCCAGTTTCCGTTTCAGTAACTTGTCCAACGCCAAAAGCCACTTCAACACCCTCATCATCATTAACATCATCATCATCATCAGAAACGAATATTTCCAAAACAAATACAATTAAAAAAAGTCCAGTCGACATTCCACCTTCTAGTTCTTCAGAAAACACACTTGCACCCACAATAAAGTCGAATATAACAGTTCAAATAACTAATATCGGTACATCGCCTAAAAAATCCGTGAAAATAAGTTCACCAATTTCAAACATACTCGAAGAGAAACCAAAGGAACCAACATTTCCAAAATTGAGAATTTTAACATGCGAGCAAATTAATTTGAAATTACTACAAGTACAAGTGTCGCAAAACGATGAGGGAAGGAAAATAATCGTTGGCACAAATAATGAGGAACAAACTAATTTAGATGATTCTGTGATTATTTTGTCGGAAGAAACTTGTGATACTCGAGACAATAGTGAGACTAGTGTACAAAAACGGATTAATACGGAAACTCCAATTGTTGCCTTATCGACAAATAGTACAACTCCTGCTTGTGATAATACTACTACTTCCACTAGGATAAGTGTTGAGAAAAATTCCGATAAAGAGTCAAATTCGAATGAGAGTGAAATTTCGAAACAAGCGTCAACTGCAAAAGATGATTTGTCAATTACAAAAGATGGGGAAAAATCGAAAGAACAAACTAGTGGGATCAAATTAACTGTCGAGAAAGAAACAACTGTTGAAAATTCAATTGTCAAAGAAACGAGAATTATTGAGAAGGAATTGACGAATGCAAAAACATCTGAGAAGGAACCGACTACTGCGAAAATATCTGAGAAGAAATCGACTGCTGCGAAAACATCTGAGAAGGAATCGACTACTGCGAAAATATCTGAGAAGGAATCGACAATTGCAAAAATATCTGAGAAGGAATCGACTACTAATAAAGAGTCGATGACTGTAGAGGAGTCAAATTCAAGAAAAGAACCAATCGTTTCGAAAACAGTCGAGTCAGAACAAAAAGAAAGTGAAAAATCGAATTTAAAGGAAAATAATGACGCCAGTAAAGTGCCCAGTAAGGAAAAGGGCCAGCAAGTGTGGGATGTGATTAAAAATAATGTCCAAACAGAGGTGGAGACAGTGACGAAGCTAGGAAATGAAGAGATGAAGAGGAAACTGGTGGAGACAGAACAGGAATTAGTGGCTAAACGGTAAGAAAATGTTACTTTAAACAATTGGTAAATTTGATTATTTTCTATAACTTTGATAAAGTTTACAACGTTTATAATCAACGATTGAATAGAAAAACATATTTTTCACACAGAAAACAAATACACTTGTTAATTAATATTAATATTAATTTTTTATTTAATTATTAACTAAAAAATGTTACGCGAAACATGATATTCAATTTATTATTATTATTATACAAATTATAAGATTTTTTATTTTCAAATATAAATTTAAATTTTTTAATAATTTCATATTCAAAATTTAAAAAAATCACTTTAAAAGTACATAATTAATTACATAATATTGTTTGTTATTTTCAAAAATTTTAATAACATTCTTTGTAAGAATTCAATTCTTTTCATAAATATTAACATTCTTCGGAAAATAATTTTCAATACAATTTTAATATAATTTCAGGAAAAGATTTAATTTTTAATAAAATTTTACGAAAACATTCAATTATTTACTGAAATTTTCAGAAATTCTTTGAAATAATTCAATTATTTTTATAAATAGTAAAATTCTTCACAAGAATTAAAATATTTAGTAAATTTCTTTGCAAAAAATCAATTATTTTCAATAAAATTTTAATAAAATTTCAGGAAAGGATTTAATTTTTGTTTTTTCATTTTTAATAACATTTTTCGAAAAAAATTCAATTATTTTCTGAAAATTTAATAAATTCTTTGAAAAAATACAATTATTTTTATAAATAGTAAAATTCTTTGTAAGAATTAAATTATTTAGTAAATTTTTTTGCAAAAAAATCAATTATTTTCAATACAATTTTAATAAAATTTCAGGAAAGGATTCAATTTTTGTTTTTTCATTTTTAATAAAATTTTTCGAAAAAATTCAATTATTTTCTGAAATTTTATTAAATTCTTTGAAAAAATTCAATTATTTTTATAAATAGTAAAATTCTTCACAAGAATTAAATTATTTAGTAAACTTCTTTGCTAAAAATAAATTATTTTCAATAAAATTTTAATAAAATGTTTGGAAAAAATTCAATTATTTTCTGAAATTTTAATAAATTCTTTGAAATAATTCAATTATTTTTATAAATAGTAAAATTCTTCGCAAGGATTCAATTATTTTTATAAATAGTAAATTTCTTCCCAGGAATTCAATTATTTTTAATAAAATTTTAATAAAATTCAGTAATCAATTGTTTAAATATAATTATTAACAGACACGATTATTTAAAAAAAATTATTAAAACATTGTTTTTTTAATTCTAAATAAATAAATTCAATTATGTATTTTCAAAGTTTTCAATGAAAATTACTAAAAAAAACTACATTATTTTCAAAAAAAACTTAAAGAAATTCTTCAAAAGAATTTAATTATTTACAAAAACTCCAATAAAATTGTTTAAAAGAATTTAATTTCCTGTCAATAATTTAAATAAAATTTAATAGCAAAAAAATAAATTTTAATTACTAACAAAATCGATTATATTAAACAAAATGTAAGAAATATTTTGAAAAAATTCAATTATTGTCAAAACCTTTACTATTTTTTGAAAGAATTCAATTGTTTTCAATATTTTAATAAAACTTCTTGAATGAATTAAATTATTTTAAAAAATTGTTATAAATTTCTGAAAAGAATTTAATTATTTTTTAAAAAATTCTCAATTGAAATTATTAAAGAAATTCCATTATTTAAAAAAAAATTCAAAGAATATCTTCAAAAGAATTTAATTAGGATTTCAAAAATTTTTATAAAATTCTTTACTATTATTTTTTAGAATTTTAATAAATTCTTCGAAGGAATTCACCAATTTTCAAATATTTTGATAAAATTCTTCGCAAGAATTTAATGATTTTTAATACGTTTATTTTAAAATTAAAAACAGTTAGAAAGAAAAATTCTTTAGAAAAGTTACAAAAATTGTTACATAATTTATAAAATTTGACAATTATAGAATTTTTTTTAAGTAAAAAAAAAATTTTCACCTAAACAGGTACGAAGTTTTGGACGATTTGGCCGAAGTTTCGAAAAGTCTTCGACAGTGGGAATTGGAGAAAGATTTACAGTCGAATTTAACTGAGGAGGTGAAGAAACTCGTGGAACAACTGAGGCTAACTGAGGAAAAGCTACAAGAACAAAAGGATAAGGTCACAAATATGGGTCTAAAGGTGTCCACTGTTCATGAGAAAATGAATATCGGCAGAAAGGAATGTTTCAGACTATCGAAAATTTGCACTGGACTTGGAAATCGAATTTACGGTCAAAAATACAAGTAAGATGGGTATTTTTTTCTTATTTTAATATTTAATACTGAAAAAAATATCAAATTTCTATAATTAAAATGTAATTTTCTTCCAGAGTTCCTGAATCGGGCGTTCAATTAGTGAACAACAGACTGAAGGAAGTGGCTCAACACACAAGTCAACTTTGTAAAAAGAAAAACGACAAGAGGCGAAAAATTTCTGCAACAAGTACAAAATCAAACGGAAAGGAATCGGATACTTCGAGTCAAATTACAGAATCGAATTCATCGAATACAATAAATCAAGCATCAAATTCAACTGATTCGAATCAAATTACAAATTCTCAGAGTACAACACAACAGTCGCAAGTTTGTGATGAAAATATTTCTAGTCCAATGGAGGGGCAAAATTCTTGTGAATCAATTTCAACAAGTGGCAGCAGTTCGAAAAATCATAAATCTGCTGAAGTTGTCAAGGATCACGTGAAAACTGTTAATTCGTCACGAAATGAAATTGTATCATTGGATGTGCCAAGTTGCAGTAAAAATATTAATACCGTCAGCGACAATGTTTCACAATCGCAGGTGAAACAGACCAATGAGGTGAATGATTCACTTGGGAATAAGAAAACGATCGATTCTTCATCGTCAAGAATGGATAATAATGATGAATCTTCTGTTACGTGCCATATGGAAGAGAGTTCCGTTTCAAATCAAATTAGCGGTGCTGATGTACAAACGAAAAAGAAAACAATGAGGCCTTATGTTTCAATTTTGGATCATATGAAAACTGCAAGGTATTTATAACTCTATCCAATCATTTACTAAAATCTATGATTTTAATCTGTTTACGATTTGCTACGATTTGAACTCTTTTTTAGATTTGTGACACTAAAAGCTACTTTTTTATGATAATTTGCACTATTTTAAATCTGCTACTAAATAAAAAAATTAATATTTATTTTCTTCAAAACATTCAGAAATTACCAGTCTTTACATTTTCTTTCTTACTTTAAACATTTTTCAGGTTTTCATTCTTTTTTTTATTTTATAAAAAGGTACAGTTGCAATTTTCAGAAATAATCAATTATTTTAGCAATGATTTATTTTTGAATTCAAATAATTGAATTCTCTCAGTTAAATTCTGATAAAAATTGATATATACCAAAGAATTTCAATTAAAATTTTAGAAAATAATTGAATAGCAGAAGCGTTATAATAGGAATTTTCAGAAATAATTAAATTTCAAAAGGTTTTTTAATTGGAATGTTTGAAAATTTTTATTAATTATAAAAGTAAAATATTTTAATATTTATGTTTAAACATTATTAATTTATTAGCAAATATTACGGACGCCAGCGCTTGAAACGCAGCATTTAATTAATTATTATATAAATTACAAAATTTTTTATTTTCAAATATCAACTTCAATTTTTGAATAATTTCAGATTCAAAATTAAAAAAAATCAAATATTGACTGATTAACTAATTAATTGTTATTAGGTATTATTTTCACAAACTGTAATACAATTCTTCAAACCAATTGAATTGTATTTTAAAAATTATCATAAAATTCTTCGCAGGTATTCAATTATTTTCAATAAAATTATTTTTATACATAATAAAATTCTTCGTAGGTATTCAATTATTTTCAATAAAGTTTTAATAAAATGTCTCGAAAGAATTCAAATTCAATTATTTTAAATTGTATTCTATATAAGAATTGAATTATTTGCAATATAATTTACATTAAATTCGTCGAAAATATTTGTAAGAATTCAATTATTTTCCAAAATGTTTATAAAATTCTTTATAAGAATTAATTTTAATTAAATTAATTGAAAAACTTTGGAAAAATTCAATTATTTTTAATAAAGTTTCAATAAAATTTCTCGAAAGAATTAAAATTCAATTAATATTTTTAATTAAATTCTATATAAGAATTAAATTATTTGCAGTACAATTTACATTAAATTCGTCGAAAATATTTGTAAGATTTCAATTATTTTCAAAAAAAATTTTTAAATTCTTTATAAGAATTCAATTACTTTGAATACAATTTAAATTGAATATCTCGATAGAATTTAATTATTTTCAGAAATTTACATAAAATTCTTCAAAACCATTCAATTAGTTTTATAAATTTTAATAAAATTCTATGCAGGAATTGAAAAAGAAATTATTCTTTTAGGAATTCAAGAGCCGATGGAATTCTTTGCCCATATCAATTAATGGGAAGTTGTCAAGACGCTGATTGTCAATATGTACATCATACTCCTAGTCATTAGCAGTCCTAGAGGCTAAAAATCAACAAATTTCTAATACGTAAGATGGTTCTAATATTAGTGAATTGGTCCATTCAATGATTGATTTACTATTTCCGATGATTTCGCATGTCTACTATTATCTAATTTAGTTTATTTTCTATTTTTTAATTTTTATTTTATTTATCTATTTATCTATTCTTTATTTTTTCTTTATTTTGTTTTAATTGAATTTACATTTTTACTTTCAATTAATTTGAATCTTTTTTTTGCATTTTTTTTTCGAGTTGGACTTATTAACATTTATTTTCTATTCTTTACAATTCAGTTGCTTGGAGTAATTTTTTTTCTTATTTTTTTTTATTATAATTCTTACTAACTTCTTCTTAGAAATATTGCTTCGTTTAGTCATTTCCAGTTTATAAATCCTGTACAACTTCTATTTTCTCCAAAATTTAATGAACATTAAAATTATTTCATAATTGAAACGAAAAAGTTAATTTACAATTTAAACAATTATTTTATTACATTTCATTTAATTTGTAAAGAAGAATGAAATGAAATTTAAAAAAAAAATCTTTAAAGATGACAAATAACAGGATTTACAAAATGGATTATAATTTTTTGTTTTTTTCTTAACATTGCAGATTCTGTAGCAGATTCGACTGAAAGTGCGATTTTTTTAAACACAAGAATAAGGGAAGAAAATATTGTATTTTGAAAAATGTTACCAACTCTAAAATGGTAAGTTTATCTTCTACAAGGAGATTTTACTGACTCGTATTTATTGTCTACACGGCGCATCTAATAAGGTGAAAATTTTTTTGTTTTTAATAAGTAGTTATTTTTTTATTGAATATTATTATATAGTCACAATTCTTTTTTTTTATATTGCTTTATTTACTTAAAAAAAAGAAAAGACAATCGTGAACATTAGCATAATGTTTATTAGTCAAAAATGTAAATAATAAGAAATAAGAATTTTCGATTTAATACTTGTGCATATTGTAAATACATAAGGGAAAATAAGGCGATTTTTTGTAAATCGTTATAAAATGCGCTTCTTAAAAATTAAAAAAAAGTGATTAATTTTTTTTTTTTACATGTTACCAAAATTATATTACTGTAATAAAAATTGTAATTAAGTTTGTGTAATAAAGAATAATTATATTCGTAATTTACTTGTCTTTTTTATTAACATTTTTATGAAATATAAATTAAGTAAAAATTTAATATAAATATAATATAAATTATAAATAAAATATAAATTTAGTATAAATTTACTAACGTATCAATTTACAATTCTTGGGAATTAATTTAAAAATTTATTTTTATCCATTAGCCATATTTATTGCCTGGAAATTTGCCTTGATCTTTTCTGTGCCAAGGGAATCGTCCCTCATTTCTTGCATCATCGAATTCTTCAATCCATTTTAAGGGACAAAATGTATTGTAACTTTCTTTAAACCATTGGCAGGCTTCTTGATTTTCTCCAAGAATTTTTTCACAACGAAAAAAATCGACGTAACTCACATAACATCTCAATGTTTGATTTTGTTGTTGAAATCTTTTAGAAAAATTATTTCAGTTCACAATTCTTTTTTATTGGAAAATTTAAACGAAAACTAAATTAATTTTATTAATAATAAATTAAACATAATAATTAATTAAATAATAATTCATCCATTTTTTATTGTAAATTCTTTTAATATTTATTTAAATTTTATTTAAATATTAAATAAATAAATTTAAATATTAAATTTTATTTAAATATTAAATGAATAAATTTAAATGTTAAATTTTATTGTAAATTCTATTAATATTTATTTACCTTGGATCTAAACCAATCGTTGGTTTAAACATTAACGGTTCTCTTTTAATTTCTTCTTCTTTCTTTATACAAGGATCATCGGGATCAATTTCGTTCTGTTGTTGTAAATTTTCATTGTTTTTCTCATTATTTTTTGTTACTTGACTTGGCGATGGTTTGGTGGAAAAATTATTCGAACGATTTCCATTTGTAGACATTTTTTTCGAAATTTGGAAAAAATTATTTTAATTTTCGGTAATTATTTTAATTTTTAAATAAATGTACTTTTTTTAAATAAGCATCGAAATATTATATTTTGTCAATGTTTTTTCATTTTGACATATTTTTTTTATGAATAAACAATTGAAGATCGTTGAAATTATTTATTATTATTATTAATAGATAACAAATGCATTTTTTTTGAATTTTCGCGCGGTAAAATTTAAATCTAGATTGCACCAATAATAAGACGGCATGTTCACCATGTATTTTTCATTGTTCTTTTTTTGTTGTAAAACGTTGTGTAAAGAGGATAAACAGTTATAAAAATGTGTTAAAATATAATTAAACATAAATTAGACGAATTAGTAATTATTTGTTTTTAACTATGCACGTGTTTGGCATATTTTTTTATTCAGTATTAGAAGTGATAGTGAATTTACATTATACAATTTGATATTGTTTGTCATCAGATTGTCAGTTTTTATGAATGAGTGAATGCCACGTAGTCGGCCTTTTATATAAATCGAGTATTTTAATTGTTTAGAAGCAAAAACAATGTTGTTTAACATTATATTTGTTTATTTATTACCCATCGTTTTTGTTTCTTTAATATTGGTGAGTTTTTGTACTTTTTTTAAGGTTATGTACGTTTCTTAAAGATCCTGTTGTTTTACTTTTCTTTTCGCAAAAAATGTGTTTGTTTGTTAGCTTTACAATTAGTAACAATAACTATGTATTTATTTTATATATATTTTGTATATAATTCATATAATTACAAATTTGTAGGTTATGTGTAATAATTTTGAAAAAATTTTCAGTTTTGCCTTGTACTTTATTTAACAACTCAACCATATCCCAATATATGGCGATATGCTGAAGAAAAATTCTATTTTAATCCTGCCTCTGGAGAGAGAGAAGCTTTTCCTTCTTTGAATGATGACTGGAGTGTACATATTAGTGTAATTGTTCCTGCCTATAACGAAGAGGAACGATGTAATGGTTTTAATAATTATTTTTTTACCCTCTTAGTTTATTATAATGATTCTTGAAAATATTCTCAGTTTATTGTTTATTAGAGTTATTATTTTAATTGTTACAATTAAAAAAACGAATTATTTTTCAGGTTTGAAAAATAATTTAAAATGCTTTTATTATTCTTTTTACAGTGCCTCCGATGCTTGATGAGTGTGTAGAGTATTTAGAGAATCGTAAAAAGTCTGGATTGACGTATGAAATAATTGTTGTAAGCGATGGCAGTGTTGATAAAACTGTTGAAATTGCTCACAATTATTCCAAAAAATATAAGAATATAAGAGTTTTAAAGTTAATTAAAAATAGAGGAAAAGGAGGAGCCGTTAGACTGGTGAATATTTTTTTTCCGAAATTAAAAACTGTTATTAATTAAATTAAATCTATGATCTTTTTGCAAATAGTTTTGAAATTAAAGTATTAAAAACTTATTATAAATTACAATTATAAACTTTTTACAAATATTTTTTAGGGAATCCAAAGTGCTAGGGGATGTGTTCTATTATTCGCCGATGCAGATGGTGCAACGAAATTCGTTGATTTGGATAAATTAGAAAAAAGTTTAAATGATATATTAGGAGGTGAACTGTTATTCATTTCATAAATTATTAATGCAATTAAAAGAAATTTTCATAAAATAATAAAAATTTCAGAGGAATTCAATTATTTACAAATTTTTCATAAATTGAAAATTTTTCAAAATAATAATTGAATTAAAATGATGAAAATAATTTCGAAGAAATACAATATTCTTATAATATAAAATTTTTGGTCCGTGAAGTCCGTATTTTTAAATACTTTCACTGGTTCGAGCCAACATCTTTATTAAAATTTCTCTTAATTTTTAGGTTTTAAGTATAATTAAGAAATTTAATCAAAAAAATATTTTTAAATTTCAGTTGACTATACGAAAGACCCAGACAAAGTTGCCACTCAGGAAGCATTGATTTGTGGATCGCGAGCACATTTAGAGGAACAAGAAATAGCAAAGCGATCATTCTTCCGTCTCTTTTTGATGTATGGCTTTCATTTTCTCGTTTGGTTTTTCTGCGTGAAGGAAATACGCGATACACAATGTGGATTTAAACTCATGACAAGGAAAAGTGCGAGGACAATTTTTGATGTTTTACACGTGGAACGATGGGCTTTTGATGTTGAAATGCTGTACATTGCTCAGACTTTGAAAATTCCCATCACTGAGATTGCAGTTAATTGGACTGAAATTGAGGGTTCAAAATTGGTGCCATTCTGGAGTTGGTTACAAATGGGACGTGATTTAGGTCTCATTTGGTTGAGATACAAAATTGGAGCGTGGAAATTAAGTAAGCCGAAAACAAATTAAATTTGTTGAATTTATATATTTAGATATAATTTTTATTTCTTTGGCGAAATTCTTATTTCTCCAGTGACTGTAAAATAATTCATCTTGCATTTAATATGAAATGCACATTATTGTATATTTGATTTTAATTTTATGAAGGAAAAAATGTGGAGAGTGCTTTTCTGTGAGTACCGAATGTAGTGAATTAAATTCACTAAATTAAATCTAGTATTCAAAAAAATATTTTTTGAATAGTTTCGATTGTTATGAAAGGCAACTTTTTAAATTAATTTCGAAAAGTATGAAAGTCGATTTATTGCGCACATTTGAAATAAAAAATTTTGATTGGAAAGAAAAAACTTTTGTTGATGAAAATATTTTTCTTCTCTAAAATCTGCAGAATATGAAGACAAAATAATCGTACTTAGACCTTTTTTACTTTAAAATTAATTTTGAAAATAAGCCAAATATTTTTGGTTCAAAATAATTTTATATTTAAACTTTTGAATAGTTTTCTTTTGTTAATTATAGTTTTTTTTGACTATTTGAATAATTCAGTGGACTAAATTTTCTTTGATTAGTTGAATTTATTAAAAAACTGTTCAGTATTTTCGAAAGTCTTAGAATTCTTGTAAACATTAAATTTCGGTAGAACGTGATTTTTCAATAATTCTCTGTCAAACATAAAACGTCCCAGTGATTCATCACCAACTCCCGACAAAATTGTTACCAGTTTTGCCATTTCGTTAATACTCTTCATTTGATCTTCCATAAAATAACTGACTATAAAATCACTCGCATTTAAATCGCCATGTTTCTCAGCAATCGAATTCGCTGCAACTAATTTCTCTGTTACTTCCATTTCCAACTGAAGTGCAGTCTGAAAAATTGAATTTATTTACCATTATCATAATTCACATTTATGATAAATTAATTAAAAATTAACTAATTTCGTATAATTAATTGAAAATTTTCTTAAAAATCGAAATCTAGTTCACTTCAAAGAAAAATAATAACTTGAAAGGCATTAAGAGGACTTTTCCAATCTTCATCCTCGGGTGGTTTAATTACACAAAGAACCACAGAACCTCCTCTTAATTTAATGTAGTTCATTAATTTTAATGCATGGCCATGTTCCTCGTGATGCATTTGAGTAAAAAATGACTCACAACCAGGCAGTGAGACGTCCACACGACCAAAATACGATGCCTATTTCGTTAACAAAAAAATATTTTCATTTTATTTCTCTTTCTTTTTCAAACATTCATATTTCTAAATTTAATTTTCTCGCTTTTTGTTAATCAGAAAACAATTAACTTTAATTTTCTAATTATTCCCTGAATTTTTTTTTATTAATCTACCATTGATAGGTAATAATAAAAAGCCTTGAACTCGGCATTAATTTGCTCATTCATAATTGCTTCCGTCTCTGAATGAAATTTAAAATTTGTTTTCATTCCTGATGGCCCTTTTGGCGGTGGTTTATTAATATTAAAAATACTCGAAAAAAATTGTGATTTACAATTTTTTCCATTTCTTTCAATTGGATTCGTGAATAATTTCGTCGATTTTGTTCCATTATTTTCTCTGCAAAAAAAAAAAATATTTCGCTTATTAAATATAATCTATAATTTAAAAAAACGTGATAATCATTTTTGATTACGAAATAATTTGATTTTAAATCTTAAAATATCGATTCATTAATTTTCGATTTATTTAATTAATTCAATTAATTCAACAGATTCAATTAATTTGAAGATTAATTTTGAAAATTTATTTTTTAATAATTACTTATTTTTTCAATGTTTAATTAAAATAAAATTAATTCAATTACTTCAATTGATTTGAAGATTAATTTTGGAAATATATTTAATAACATAATTTTTTTTTGTTTAATTAAAATTAAAATAAATAAAAAATAGGTAAAATAAATGGCAATTTGTAATTATCAAATAAGATTAAATAATATATATATTTTTTTTTTAAGGAATAACTTACAAAGTGCAAAGTCTTTTTACAATTCTTAAACTCGAAGAGTGATTAAACTTGAGGTTAATCACTCTAGTGCCAGATTTGTACATGCTTTGAGACAATTTATTCACTATAATCAATTAACGAGTATAATTAGTTGAGCATAAAATGAGATAACTAACATTGTATATTTATTTACTCGGAAAAATTTATTTCTTGTTTTTGAAATTCATTTCGAAAAAAATTAAATAACACAATATGACAATATGACGTAAACAAATGACGAATATTATTAATTGAAAGATAAATAATTTCTACACCTCCGCATTTAAAAACAGTGAATACAATTCAGTTTTCAAATAAGGGAATTTTAAAAAATTACGCAATGTACCTATATTAAAAAATAATAAAATTACTCTTTTGTTATTACAAAAGAGTTATTTTTATATTGAACAATTTTTACGAATTAAAATTAAATTTTTAAGGCTAGTACTTTAAAATAATTTTAAAACTAAAAATTGACGAGGAGAAATAATGAACAAAGGCATTTTCGCAATAATAAACTTTTATTTCTTACACGTAAATTTTGTTTACAATGTACAAGAAAAAAGTAATGATTTTTTGAAAATCATAAATGTTTGAAATTTGCATTTACTCTACACGCTTAATTTGCAGAGAATAAACAACTTCTCTTATCTAATTTTAATTTTAATTGACAAAATTCTTAATCAAATATAATACTTTGATCTTAAGTTTTATCTTCTATCCATTTTAATACCTTTTAAATAAAGTCAAAATAAACTATTATAAAGCGACTCATATAAAAAAATAAATTGTACATCAAAATTAATTAATGTACAAAAAAATATTAATAAGCACTCGTTATATACTTGAACATTATAATATTGTGCTTTCAATCAATATTAATATTATATAATTTTTCCCTTTTTTTCTGACGCACATGTCAAGTTGAAAACTTAAAAGAAAACAAAAAATAAATATATCCAAAAAATTAGAAATCATACGTTATATCAATTAAATATTGTACAAAAAAATTTTTTTTTTGTACAATATATTATAATATAATAATATATTGAGTGTATCACAGTTGTTACCATTAATGTTACAATATATAACGATGACTCAAATTATATAAAATAAGAAAAGAAAAAGAAAATTCGTCGAAAGCAGTAAATATTTACTTTTAATCTTTGTTTAATTCTTTGTCAAATACGAAAACGCCAAGTCCCTCGCCAACTCGTTCCAGATTTGTCACATGGGCAGCAATTGCTCTTATGGAATCAACTTGTTCTGTTAAATATTCGCCCTCGAGGAAATCCATGAAATGAGCGTCATTATGATTTGAGGCGATGGCGTGTAATCTCAAAAGGTTCTAAAAAAAAGGAGAGAAAAATATTTAATACAAATTGAAGTTAAAGGAAACATCATTTTAATTTTTAAGTTAAATAAAATAAAAAATTATTAATACAAACAAATTTAAACGTAATTTTCACTAAAGATTTTAGAAAATAAATAAATAATAACAGAAAAAAAGGAAAATTAATTATTTGTTATCAAACAGAAATTTGTTTATTTTTAAACAGAAATTTATTTATTGTTAAACAAATTTATTTATTGTTTAGCAGAAATTAATTCATTAATACAAATTTTAAAAAAAGCAGAAAATTGAAAACAGTTTTAAAAATAAAATATTGTAGAACAAAAAAGCGGTAAAAGTTTTGAATTAATGAAAACTAAGAGAGAGGAAATAAAAAAGTTTTGGAGGAGCTGGGATTTGAACCCAGGACTTTCCGCATGCGAAGCGGACACTCTACCACTGAGTTACACCCCCTGTTGAAATAATTTTCTTAAAACACGGAGTAGTACCTTGAAAATTTGTTAAATTTGAAAAAAGGTCTATTTTTCATTTTTACACTCGAAAAAATTAAATAAACAATCAATGAATTTTTTTTGTGACTATTTTTAATCTAAAAATATATATAAACATTTAAAAAACAATTTTAAAAACCGTTTTTTCAACATTATTATGTAAATAATAATGTTTAAATTATTTACATTATTTAAAATTTATAATACTAATTAATTAATTATTGTTTATTAATTCTTTTATTCCAGCCATAGAATTCCAAAACGTTTTTTATTCATAATTATGAATAAAAAACGTATAAATTTTATTTTAAATTAAAAAATTAATTTATTGACAATAAATTAATCTTTATAAAGAATTTTATTAAAATTTTTAAAAATAATATTTACTTCTTTCAAAGAATTTTATTAAAATTTAAAGAAAATAATAGGGATTTATTTTTCTTTTTTCATCATTCGAGATATTAAAATTGTATTGAAAATAACTGAATTTACGTGCAATTATTTCTTTCGAGATTTTTAAAGTTTTTAAATAATAATATTGTAATTAAAATTTTTATTATTAAATTTGATTACAATTTTTTGTAAATAAATTAACTCTTCCTAGAATTTTATTAAAAAATTTTGAAAATGTTTAAATTCTTTCGAGAAATTTTATAAAAATTGTGAATTTTTTGAAAAGAATTGAATTTTTTCGAGACATTTAATAAAAATTGTACAAGGAAATTTATTATTTATGAAAATAATTGAATTTTTTGAACGATTTTATTAAAATATTTGAAAATAAATTGAATTCCTGTGTAAAATTCGAATATTTTCAAAAATAATTGAATTCCTGAGAAGAATTTTATTATTTATGAAAATAATTGAATTCCTGAGAAGTATTTTATTATTTATGAAAATAATTGAATTTCTGCGCAGAATTTTATTAAATATTAAAAATAATTGAATTCTTTTGAGAAATTTTGATTAAAATTGAATTGAAAGTAAATTAAATTCCTGCACAGAAATTTATTATTTAAAAAAATATAATTGAATTTTTGCCAAAAATTTTATTAATATTAAAAAAAAATTGAATTTTTTCGAGACATTTAATCAAAATTGTGGAAAATTCTAATTCTAATATTTTTAGACATATTTTCTGAGAAGAATTTTATTAGTTATGAAAATAATTAAATTATTTGGGAAAAATGTTACAACAACTATTGGAAATAATTAAAATTTTTCGAGAAATTTTATTAAAATTTTATTGAAAATAATTGAATTCTTATAAAAAAATTGTGTCAAAATATTTGAAAATAAATGAATTCTTTCGAAGAATTTTATTAAAATTCTATTGAAAATAATTGAATCTTTTCGAAAAATAACATTAAAATTGTATATTGTAAATAATTGAAATTCTGCAATGAGTTTTATTATTTATGAAAATAATTGAATTCCTAAAAAGAATTTTATTATTTACAAGAATAATTGAATTCCTAAAAAGAATTTTATTATTTACGAGAATAATTGAATCTTGTAAAAATGTTATTATTTATGAAAATAATTGAATTCCTTCAAAAAATTTTATTATTTATAAAAATAATTGAATTTCTCTGAAATTTTAATTATTTTATGAAAATATTTAAATGTTTGCGTAGAATTTTATTAAATTTTTTTTAAGTAATTGAATTCTTTTAGAAAATTTTATTAAAATAGTTGATATTGAAAATCATTGAATTGAGAAAATTTTTTGAAAATAATTGAAATCATTGAAATTTTGCCAAGAATTGTATAAAAAAATTTTGAAAATATATTAATTTCGGAGAAGAATTTTAGTATTTATAAAGATAATTGAAATTTTGCTAAGAATTGTATAAAAATTTTTGAAAATAATTGAATTTTGGAGAAGAATTTTATTATTTATAAAGATAATTCAAATTTTGTCGAGAATTTAAAAAAAATTTTTGAATATAATTGAATTTCTGCGATGAATTTTATTACTTTTGAAAATAATTGAATTTCCTTAAGTAATTTACTCAGTGAACTGAAAATTTTGCTTTTGTTTTAAATTTATAGAGCGAAAATAATTCGAGTATTTTTCTCATTTTGTCTGTGAATTAGTATTCAGTAGAATATTAAATTAGTGTTTATGGAATTTTCCTATATGTAGGGAAATCTAAGTGATATTGATTCTTATCACAAAGGGACAATAAGAATTTATACTCTTCGCTATAAGAAATTAATTATTCTCTCTCATAGAAATGAGAACGAAAAAAAAGTACAAAAAAAAAAAAAAAATAACTGACTTTATATAGTTAACCTGTGAATTTGTCCCGGAATTTAAACCTTGTCGAAACAGACAATGAATTTAAATCTCAATGAATGGGAATTAGAGGAAATTAATTATATTCCCATACCTCATTAACTCGTTTTTCTAATGCCAAAGCTTCAGACATTGCATCTTTAGCAGTACCCCATTCATGTTTAGGGGGAGCACTAACATCCATGAGACGAATCGATCCACCACGTTTATTTTGATAGTCCATAAATTTCATGGCATGATCGCGTTCCTCATCGGAGGCATGTTTAAAGTACTTGTGAAGTCCATGTAAAGCTACATCACTTCGCTGAAAATGATATGCCTGAAAAAATGTCAATTAATGTTTTTTTTTCATTTCTAATTTCAGATTATCGTAGTTGTATTCTTGGGGCTCGAGAAATAAAACAAAAGGAGTAATTTTCTCATAATTGAAAAACTGATGAAATAATTGACATATGAAGGATAATTCACTCACCATTGAAAGGTAAACATAACTGGCCTGAAGTTCTAGATTGATTTGTTTGTTAAGAGCATCTTCGCACTCGGTGCTATAATTTTGTCTTATAACATTCATGATTGTTTTCCTTTTTTTTTGTTGTCTTAGATCTTTAGAAGAAAATTGCCTTGGTTTTGTCACTGTCTCGATGACTATTTATTTGCAAATGAGCCAACTACTTTGGGTGCGCAATACTTTTAGATTATATCAGTCACAATGACTTTGGACCTGCGCTGTGCCAAACACTCGACGAATATATGTGTTTGTGTTTTTATCTGCCACCAGGTTTTGTATTTATATATTTATACTCAATTGTCCTTTGTCTGCAAAATTTACAATATATATGCGTAATTTGATTTCAGATTAAATAAACAAATACCCCCCACGGTATTTGTTTATTAATTTTCCAATTTTAATTTTTTTTTACTAAAAGCAATCAATATTTGTCTGAACGAAAATTTAAATTTTAGTAAAAAAATAAAATAATTTTTATTTTTTCTTAAAGTTTTGTTTCTTGTCAAGTAATTATTTATTTCAATTTTCGTAATTAATGACAAATAAATTAATAACGAAAATAAATTACGTTTATAGAATTGTTAATTTTTATTTCACAAATTTTTAATTTTTCGTTTCAAATTTAATTTTTCATAAATTATTAATATTCAATTAAAGTATTTTATAGTTAAATAATTTAGAAATTAAAAATTTCCTGGTTAAAATAATCTCTTAATCAAAAAAAATAAGGGGAGGTACCTTATCATATTATTATATCAAATTTCCTTGTTTTTAGAAGGAAAATTCTTTTCAGACTACTTTTACTATCTCTTTTTATAGAATACGTGGCAAATTAATAATTTATTGCGCATTAGTTATTGTTAATAGCCGGAAAAATATTTGTCATTTCCGATAAACTTGGGAGTTAATCAAAAATGACAAATCAAATTCTAATTACAATTAGTATTGGAATTCTAATTATTGTATAATGTCAATTTCATAACAATCATAACCTAAATTACTATATTTAGTTTTATGCGAATTTTTCAGATAAAAATTCAATAAATCAGACAAATGCGCAATAAAGATAAGAAAATATTATTTATAAAATTGATAAAAGATAATAATTAAGTTTATTAATAAATGCTGGTTACGCTGGTTAACAGTATAATAATTAACATAAAATCGTTTACCATCAATCAAAATAAACGTCATTCGTATAATTATCGTAATTACGCAGATTATTATAATACTTTGATAAGATTTTTATTTTCCAGAATGGTCCAAAATATGGTACCAAATTCATTTTTCATTTTTTCAATTACCAAGTTACTAGAATTTTTAATCGAAATTATAATTATTTGTTTGTTTATTGTTTATTTTTACAACAGAAAACGTAATAAATTCTAACCTTTAATTTTAAATTTTCTAGAGAGGACAACTGCACATGCGCCAATTCGATTGACCAATGAGGAAATTGGAATTTTTTTCGCAACGATTTGATTTGTGGACAAGTTTACCTGTGAACTTGGAAACAGTTCAAAAAAGTACCGTTAGAGGGTTATTTTTCATTGATTTACATCCTATATTCTCATCCTAAAAGGTATATTCTCTTGACTTATATAACATATTTTATAAAAATTTTCCCTAATTTCGAATATATTTGTTCCGATACAAGAGTATTTTTATCCCGACAAATTTTTCATCGAATCTGATTCAATCCAAGATTTAGATTGATTTTTAGTGTTTAGTATTTAATCAAAAAGCCTTTTAATTCAAATTTAATTGTTCGCTTATAAGTAATTTGCGAAATTTATGATCAGTTATATGAAGAAATTATAACCTATATAGTAGTCGATTGTTTGGCTGTGTTGCGTCGCCATTTTGTTTTCGACCGGCCGGCAACGGCAGTAAACAATGAAAACATCCAACAATATCAGTGTTTCTTTTTCTTACTTTCACGGGTTTTGTTATCCTAAAAGGTATTTCTTTTGATTTTTCTACTTAATTTGTAAAAAGTTATTGAAATATTTAATGTATCCCCGAAAAGTTCGTCCCGGACTATTTGGCCATTGTTCTGAGTTTAGATTCGTTTTTTATTGAATAATTTCTCTGTATTCAAAATATCCTTTATTTTCAAATCTAATTGTTAAATTAGATCAATTATTTATGATCATTTATGAAGAAATCAGTCTGCAGAGGTATTATCGTTTTTCTCGCGTGTAACAGTCAGCTTGCAGGTGGTTGCCTACAATCAGGCGCTAACCAAAAATTCGCACAAAAAAGTTTTTTTTTTTTTTGACAGTTGCATTAAAATTTATTTTTATTCACTATCAAGTAATTTTGTTAATTAAAATTGACTAAATTTTAATTTACTAAATTCATTAAATTTTAATATACTCAATTTACTAATCGAGTAATTAATCAAAACGAATTACAAAAATGGCTTGAAGTCCGTAAAAGTCCGTTTTTTTGAAAAAAGGATGAAAAATTCGTAAATTGTACGATATAATTTGAAGAATTTTAGAGAAATTACAAATGATTGAAGAAATTCAATTATTTTCAATATTAATAAAATTCTTCGAAAAAATTAAATTATGTTAAAAAATTTTTAAAAATTCTCATCAAAATTTCAATTATTTTTAGAAATAATTAAATTCTTCTCCGAAATTCAATTATTTTAAAAAATTTTTCTCAATTGCAATATTGCAATTGAATTTTTCATTTTTGGTCCGTATTTTTAAATACTTTCACTGGTTCGAGCCCTGAATTTATTAATCGTGTTTTATTTGCAAAAACATAGAATTTCTAATTAATATTGGTTTTATGAAATACCTTAGAATTATCCTTATTAAGAATTAAATCATGAAAATAATTCGTTTTTCGAAATATAATTGCATTTTAGTTGTTGGAGTTGTAAAATATGATAAAATCAAAACTAATTTGAAATTGAAGGTACAGTGTCAAAGTTGTCGGAACTGAGTCGTATTCCATGAAACTTGGAGTGTTGACAAATACAATTAGTTTCTTGTTAATTAGAATGTTTAACCGGTAATTTCTCTATACTATGAGGGAGTAATTCAATTTGCTTTCTGTAGTCTATTAGAGCTGTCGCGGCTTATTTAGGGAATAACACTTCGCACCTCAGAGCACCAAAACCCTGTGCACTTTATCTTTATTCGTGTTAATTTCACATTTCCCATATATAGCAGAAATAATTATCAGAACAGTGTAATTAACATGTAAAACAAAAGAAATTTACTTTAGTAACTCGAAGAGATATTAAATTGGAACCGAATTTTTTTTTTGTACACAAAATTATTTTTCTATTTTTTCACATTCTAATTTTTATAGAAAGAAAAAAGAAATTAGAAAAAATAAATATATTAAATCCAAATCTGTCTGAATTTGCAAAAAAAAAAATATTGTTGATACAGTATTTTGTGCAAGGAAATCTCCTTTATAAGGCGTTTCACAATTATGCAAGTCATAAAGGCAGTTTTCACTAATTAAAGTCTTCTCGAGTCTTAATTAAATAGAGAGCTAAGAGAAGGGCATTAAAGTGGATATGGTCCTTGTAATTAAGAGTTGAATATTTCAGGTGACTTTTCAAATTAAACCTTAGAAATAATCATTGTTTCGTTGCTCTACAAATGACTACAAATTTCCAGAGGGAAGTGAATTTTACATTTCAATCTCAATTAAGATTTTAACACAGTTTTTTCGTTTTGTTTTCTATGCGAATAGAACGAAAATTGTTAAAAAATCAAAACGAGAATTTAAATCAGTAAAAAAAATGACACAAATTATTTTGTTTTAGTCAGGAAAAATATTTTCTTTTCTTTCATTCGTTGATCATAAAGGATTTAGAAAAAAAAATATTTTTCTATTTAATGTTTTATATATTTTTGCATAATTTTTTGATGAATAATGTGAAAAAGAAAAATTTGTATACAGTAAATATTTTGTTGTTTTTGTCAAGAGAAATAGTTTTTTTTTTTCTTTGAAATTGTTGTGTAAATTTCATCGACGTAAGAAAATAGCATTTTTCAGTTTTTATTGTACTTAAATATTTAACAAAAGCGAGGAAAAGTGCGTAAATAAAATTTAAATGCATAATAAAAATTGATTGACGTCTTATTAAAATCCAGCTGTACTTCCTGGAGTTTTCAGTGAAAACACTCTTGATGGGGTTAAAAGCTTTTTCTAATGAAGATGGAGAGCACTTTTGGTATTAATGCATCAAGTTTTATACTTGATTGATAAATGGGAGTAGTGTTTCTGAAATTAACAGAAAAAAAAGAGTTGACGCGCAAAATTTCTTAAATAATTTAACATTTTTATTTTAATTACAACCTAAATGCCCAAAAATTCCAATTTTAATTAAGTAATTTCTAAATTCAATCAATAAATAGATAATAAATTATTTATTAATTTTAATAGTTTATTTAAATAATACAATTTGAATTTCAGGGTTGCTACCGGTCAGAAAAATCAGGAAATTCAGGGAAACTAGAATAGAAATAAAATTCTTCGCAAAAATTCAATTATAAAAAAAAAAAAAAAAAAAATCTCGTCAAAATTTAAATTATCTTTAAATATAATAAAATTCTTCTCTAAAATTCAATTATGATCAAAACTAAAAAAAAATCGCGTCAAAATTTAAATTATCTTTAAAAATAATAAAATTCTTCTCCAAAATTCAATTATTTTTAAAAATTTTAATAAAATTCTTGGCAAAATTTCTTTTATCTTCAAAAATTTTCCTCAAATCAATGATTTTCAATATCAACTATTTTAATAAAATTTTTCAAAAAAACCAATTATTTAAAAAAAGTGTTGATAAATATTTAATTGAATAGAATTTCTGAATAATCGAAATTTTGTAAAATTGAATAGTAAACAAATGGATTTGAAAATTCTCAAGGAATTTTTACAAAAAGTATGAAAAATAATGGATAATTGAATTCTTTCGAAAAATTTTAATAATACTTTTGAAAATAATTACATTTTTCGAAAAACTTACATAAAATTGTATTAAAAATAATTAAAATCCTGTGAAGAATTTTATTGTTTATGAAAATAATTGAATTCTTACAACGAATTTGATTACTTTTCTAAATAATTCAAATCCTGTGAAGAATTTTATTATTTATGAAAATAATTGAATTCTTGCAACGAATTTTATTAAATATTTTTTTAATTATTGAAGTCCTGTAAAGAATTATGTTATTTATGAAAATAATTGAATTCTTGCAACTAATTTATTACTTTTTTTTAAATAATTGAAATCCTGTGAAGAATTTTATTATTTATGAAACTAATTCAATTCTTGCAACGTATTTTTTCAATTCAATTATTTTTAAAAAAAGTAATATTTTTTAAAAAATTTGAATTTTTAAAAAAATTCAATTATTTTCCTAAATAATGAAATTTTTTACATGATTTCAATTAATTTTAATACAATTTTTCGATTTCATGGCAAAAATTTTATTACTTGTAAAAATAATTGAATTCTTGAGAAGGATTTTATTAAAATTTTGGTAAATAATTTAGTTTTTTTGAAAAATTTTATGGAAATTTAAATTAATTAATTAAATTTAAAACATGAAGATGCTAATCGATATCTTCATGTTTTTAATAATATTCTTATATATGTTGTTGAATATCATAAAGGTTTGAATTTCTTTAAAGAAGAATTTATTGATGTTTTTGAATAATCTTACAATTAAAAAAAATCGTAAATAATAATAATTAATAGTAAATAGAGTAAATAGAATTAAATTATAGAATTAATTAATTAATGGAATTAAATTGAATAATTTAATTGAAATAGTTTAAAATTGAAATTTAACACAAGTTGATTAACATTTAGGTTAATAAAAATTAAGGAAATTTGAGTAGAGTTTCTCAAACAGTGTATAACTTATATTGTATTTGAGTGAGAGAGATCTATTTGAATATGAGGCGGTATTTATCTTGAATAGTAATCGAGTAATTAATCTTCCAGGATGCAGGAAGCTGAAGCGGGGGCGCATGCTCGTCCAGCGGTGAGCGTCGGTGACGACGTCGAATATGACGAGGAGGAGGACGACGACGATGAGGGTGGTTGAAAATGCACTCACCGGCCGCAGTCGTCTGCTGAAGGCAGTTGTTTGCGGTTCTTTTGGTCTCAGGTGGTGCGCCATAGCCGTCAAATTCGTGGTGGGGACGAGAAATTTTCTATGGGGAAGATTCAGCTCCTATCGTTCTCCATCTCCCGCCACATCACAGTTGCTTTACGTAAGCCTTCATGCACCACTCGAAAACAATAGATCAAGTCCAAAGGTGAATTAAAAAAAAACAAGAAAAACAAAAAAAAAACAATATAGAAAATATAAATTTGTATAAATATAAATTTGTATAAATATAAATCTATATAAATATAAATCTGTACAAATATAAATTTATATAAACACAAATTTGTATAAATATAAATTTGTATAAATATAAATTTATATGATTATAAATTTATACAAATATAAAATTATATAATGTATAAATTTATATAATTGTTAAATTAAGTATAAATTTCCACTAAAATGAGCAAAATTGAGAATAATTTAAAATAGTTAATTTACAGAAAATTGTTTTGATTGGTAGAGATTTAGTTTTCTTTTCCACCACCTGTCGGAGTTTGAAATGTTAATTTTGAAATTATTTTTTTTTGTTCAGGCCTTGCTGTATTATGGGTCTTTCAAATTGGATGATTATTGGAGTAATGATTGGATCATTTGTCGGCAATGTTTTTACTGGCAGTTGTAAGGAGGCTGCACTCTGCTGTTCTGGACGAGATTCCGCGTGTGTCGTGCAGAAGACATCGCCGAATGCTATTATACAGACGTTGTCGGACAAACCGTGTTATTGTGACCACGCGTGCCTCAAATTAGGGGATTGCTGTCACGACTTTAAGGATGCTTGCGGAGGTTAGTTTATTATTTTTCCTAAATATTTTAATTACATCCTATAATCTTCTTCTTCTTCTTCTTCTTCTATCTTTTATATTAATAATCGTTGTATTCCGGTAATCTGTTCGCAGTTTGAAGTTTGTTGTTAATTACTTTTTCTTTCCTTACTTTTTTAATAATTTTTCGTTTTAAAAGTTTTTAATTTTAAAATTAGTGTATTGAAAACCATTGAATTCTTGCGAAGAGTTTTATTAAAATTTTCTGTAAATTTTCTAATTAAATTCTTTTGAACAATTTCTTTGAATATTTTGAAAATAATGGAGTTCTTTTGATAATTTCTAAATAATTTTTTTATTAAATATTTCTCTGAATTAGTTACTTTTAATATTTTATTAAAATTTTATTCAAAATCCTTAAATTCTTGCGAAGAGTTTTATTAAAATTTTTGAAAGATCTAATTAAATTCTTTTAAAGAATTTTTTTAAAATAATGGTGTTACTTTAATGATTTCTAAAATTTTTTTAAAATTAAAATTCTCCTATGAATCAATTATTTTTAATATTTTATTAAAATTGCATTGCAAATAATTGAATTTGTAGCGAAGAAGTTTAAATATTTGAATTTCCAGCGAAGAATTTTATTATTAACGAACACAATATAATTTTTTTAAATAATGTAGTTTCTTTAATAATTTTAATTAATAAAAATCTTCAAAGTACTTGAATTTTATAAAGAATTTCTTTCAAGTTTTTTAAATAATTGTGTTTGTTAATAATTATAATTAAAAAATTTAATTATTGAATTCTATTCAAATTTTTAGAAAATAAATAAATTCTTTTCAGAAGTTTTTTAACATTTTTTAAAATAATTTAATTCATTGAAGGAATCTTACTAAATTATTAAAAATAATTGAATTTTTTAGAAGAATAGATATACTTTTAGAGGTTTTGAAAATAATTGAATTCTTTCAAAAAATTTCTTTAATTTTTTGAATATAAACGATTCTGTTATTAATTACATATAATTAATAATTTTATTCTTAAATGTTATTAAAATTATTGATGGAATATTAAATTTTTCCAAACAAATTTATTAGAGTTTTTGTAAATAATGTAATGTTTTTAGTAGTTTTAATTGAAAACTTTGAAAATAATTGAATTAAACAAACAATATTTTTCAACTTCTTAAAATAATCTTATTTGTCAATAATTATAATTAAAAATTTGATTGCTGAATTTAATTAAGATTGTATTGAAAATAATTGAATTCCTGAGAAGAATTTTATTATTTATAAAAATAATTGAATTCTCGCGAAGAAATTTACTATTTATAAAAATATTTAAATTGTTTCGAACAATTTATTAAAATTTTAGAAAATGCATTGAAAATAATTGAATTGAATTGAAAAAATTTGCAGGAGCAAAGAAGTTTACTATTTATTAAAATAATTGAATTCTTCCAAACAATGTTATTATTTGGGAAAATAATTGAATTCTCGCGAAGAAATATTTAAATGGATTGAATTTTTTTAATTCTAATTTTTGAAATTTATATTTTTTTAAATTTTGAATTCAATTTGTTATTAAAATATTTTTTCTAATTAAAATCAGTTTGATAGGTTATAAATATTTTTTCTAATTAAATTCAGTTGGTAGAATTTAAATATTTTTTAACATTTAAATTCAATTTGATGTAATTCAAATATTTCTTATATAATATTTAAATTCACTTTGATAGAAACCTGAGAGATTGGGAGAATATAACTTAGTGGATCAATTTTCATGCGGTAGAAATTGTTAAAAAATTTTTTCTTCAAAAAAACATTCGTTATATTGAGGTTTCAATTGTATTTTCTCGAGCTCGGAGAGCAGTTTGCCTAGTTTACTTACAAGCAATTACAATTTGACCGATATCTTTACCTCCGGTTTATTTCAGCATCTATTTTAATCCCTGTCTTTCAAGTTTAAAGACCTCACAATAATTGTTCTACTTTGTAGCTTCCCTCTTATCTTCCACTTGCGACAATCAAGTTCCAATGTTCGTTTTAATAGAACAAGATTCTATTATAGTTTTATTTCCCGCTTTTTGCTCATCGCGCTGCGAGAAAGTTTGAAAAGTGTTTTCGCGTGCTTGTGAAAATTAAATTTTAAATGTCACTCTAAATTAGATTAATTTCAATTAAAAAACATTTTTAATGAGATGTTCTTTTTTTGGGAATTAAATAATTATTGAAATGAATTTTTATATATAATTTAATATTAATTAACTTTTTTAACGTAAGGGAATATTTATTAAATTTATTAAATTTAATACTAATTAAGTAACGTAGGAATTTTTTTTAGAGAATATGAAATTTTTTTAGAGCGGAACAAAAGGAGGGAATTCACAAGATATTCGAATAAAATTTTGTTAACGTTTTTTTTATCTATTATTTTTCCTATTTGGAGAAGAAATTCCATTCTTTTGTTCACAGCTCGCAAAAGTTTTTTCTCTTTTATCAAAAACTTTGAGAACTTTTCTATTTTGAAAGTTTATACTTACACTCCTATACGACTTGAAATAGTTTCGATAATAAATGTGGAAATGGCAAAGAGTAAAATATAACGGAACAAAGAATTCTTTCTCTCTAATTTTTTATCATTTGAATTATAAATCTTAATCCTATTATAAATATTTCTCTTACATTTTTATTAATAATTAAAAGTTTTTATTCTTTTCAAATTTTTCTTTAAATGGAAAATTTATTTTCTGTTTTTCTAATTCTTTTTCATTTCTGGTTTAACTTTATAAGGGTTTTTTATTTTAGAATAGATTTCAATATTTTATCTCTCTCAAATAATTGAGTAGCTTTCATTCACATTAGTTTTCTCTTAAATTTTTTGCAAATTTTTTCGTTTTATGAGGCACAATTGTAATTTTTTATTTATTAATTTTCTTTTTAGGAAAAAAAATTTAGAAATATATTCTCGTGTGAAACGATAGTATATTTCTATTTTTTACCGATCATAATTTTCGAATGGATGATAGAAAGTTGCGAGAAATTGGAATCTTCATGGTTCTATGAGTTTTTGGAGTGATACATTACACCTGAGGGCTATAGCTATAAAAACCTTTTGATCTCAACGGCAAATTGGAATCAGTAAACGGCCCTATAAAAATTTGCATGCAATGCTTCTTATATACGGGAAAAGGTGGAAGTTTCTTGGAAAGTACGAGAAACTTTTTTCTTTTTTTACTATTTACTTTTATGCTTCACACGTCAATATAAATATTAAAAATACATTGTTTTTTTTACCCCTTCAAACGGGGAATCAATAATTTTTTCCAACAATAGAAAATAATAATAATTAATAATTCAAATTTTTGTTCAAAACACTAAAAAATTTCAATTTTGGAAAAATTACAAATAATTGCAGAAATTCAATTATTTTCAAGAGTGATAAAATTCTTCTCATAAAATTCAATTATCTTTCAAATTTAAAAAAAATTCTCGTTTAAATCCCAGTTATCTTTATGAATAACAAAATTCTTCCCCAAAGTTCAATTATTTTCAAATAAATGTCAAACATTTAATTATTTTCATAAATAATAAAAATTTAAATTAGAAAATTTTTAAATTCTATTATTTTTAAAGTTGCTAATTTTATTTTAAAAAAAGGCAGTAAGAAGTTAACCGCGCGCTTTTGCAGTCGAATTGTTCCTAGTAAATAATTAAAATAAAAAGATTATAAAAATTTTATAAGGATCAATTTAAATATTAAATATGTCATTTATTTTTAATATTGTCAATTGTTAATATTAAAAAAAAAGAAAAATTAGAAAAAAATTTTTCTAATTGAAATTGAGAATAATTTAATTAATTTTTGGACTATTTTTGAAAATTTTAGACGTAGGAAAAGAGAAGATCCTCTTTTGCTAATGAAGATGAGTGTTTTATTTTATATGCGGATTCACTAAAAACCTTTTCGTCGAATTCGCGGTTCGTTAACCGTTGTTGTCTCAAATTGCGAAAATGTCGAGGTGTTGATACAGAGGGCAAGCTATGAGAATAATGAACGTCGCGGGTCAAACGTGCGGTCCACACAAAGCGAGAGGTTTCACCCAAACGCCCACAGCTCACACAATCACTCTCCCCTTTCCATTTTCCTTTAAATACACATATATACATATACAGACACTATATGCATGCACGCACTTCTCTCTGACATTTCAAATTCGCAACGTGAATACAATAGTATTCCCTCGAATGAAACACACAAGTTTGCAGAGATATTAAAAAGAGAGAAAAAAAATTTTTTTCTTCCCAATTTTATTATATATTCAAGTATACAATTGTTGAATAGAAAAAAAAAAAAATCTTTAATTGTTTGATTCAGACAAAAATTTATTCATATATTCTTTCTTTCGATTGAAAAATTTATAAATATTTTTTTAAATGAGTATTTAGTTTTTATTGAAAATTTGTTTGAATTGATAAAAAATAATGTATTTGGTTATTTTAACTCTTGGTAATTTTTTTTTGGTATATTTTGTTTGTTTTTTCAAAAGAATTTTCTTTTGTTTTGAGTTTTTTAACGCGCAGGATAAATTTAATTTAAATAAATTTAAACAATGAAAATTATTATTTAATTTTTTGAAGATTATATAACAGAAATTAATTAAATAAAATTATTTCGAGAAATTTTATAAAAATGTTACAAAAAGTAATTGAATTCTACGACGAAATTTATAATTTGTGGAAATAATTGAATTCTTGTGAAGAATTTTATTACAATTTTTGAAAATAATTGAATTATTTCGAAGAATTTTATTAAAATTTCTGAAAATAATAATTGTTTCGAAGAATTTTATAAAATTTTTTGAAAATAAAATAAATTCTTTTGAAGAATTTTATTAAAACTGTATTGAAAATAATTGAATTCCTTGAAAGTATGTTATTATTTACAAAAAAAAATAATTTAAATATCGCGAAGAATTTTATTATTTATAAAAAAAATAATTTAATTCTTGTGAAGAAT